AAGTGCCGAGACTAAAAAAGTACTGTGAGACTAAAAATAAAAATAAAAGTCAATTGCGTAATAGCAAAATTTTTTGAAAGGGTCAATAAGCTGTTAGAATGTAATATTTTTTTATACGCTGTTCAAACTTTTTCACGATATGGTGTTTGGATGTTGTTGTAGATTTAAAAACTACTATGTAAAGACATAAGCAGTTATCACCATTGCTTATGACAACAAAAGAGTGACACTGTAGATCGACTAACGCAAGATCAATTAATGCAAGATTCATCTGAATCGTCCCACGCGTTTGATCGCCAGAGCGCCACGAAGGAACAAAATCTATATTCAAAAGCTGATAAACACATTACCCTCCTTTGTGTAGTGCAGTCGGGAAAACATAATGTTCGTCGTCTTAAAAAAATGTCCCATATTATTTCATCATTTCCTATAGTTACTATTAACAAATGTATGAGATGAATTAGTCAAAAACAGAGTTATCGCTGCATATTGAGTTATTACGAAATGTCAAATGTGTACCTACGGAAAGGGAGTGTAATATTTCGAAGTCTTGTACTTATTAACTTTTAATTTAATTTGCAACACAAAATGTTCTTACGAATTTTCTGTGTGACGAATAGTTTGCCCTATATAGCGTAAAAACCATTTTATTTAACTTTACGCTAGCTCTTACTCTTGATATCCAAAAAAAATTAAATTGTGACTGATTAAAAACCTTGAGTTTTGCAAACCAAAATGTTTGCGAACCAAAACCTTTTATGTTGATTATTCCGGGATAAACAACAAAAATTATGTTAGACAAAAAATCGAAATGACATTCACAAATTTAAATTGGGCGAGCAAATTATATGGTATAAAATAAAATTGGTATATAATATAATCAAAATTTAATGTAAATTGAAAGATAAATTTGAAAAAAAAGCAGTAAAAAAAAGTACTTGCTGTCAGGTGTGGGGTTCGAACCCACGCTCCCTCTCGGGAACCAGAGCTTAAATCTGGCGCCTTAGACCACTCGGCCAACCTGACTTACGTAACCTTGTTCAAATTATGAAATAGTTTCTAAGGTTGTTAAAATTTCTATACCTATAAATGTTAAGGTATATCGCTCACAGTAGGAAAGCAGAGAATACGGTTTCGCCTTTCTACAATCCTTGCACACGATTGTTGCCCCTTCTACGACAAAATATAGTTTTAGAGGACTATTAATATTATGCTTACGTAAATATTTTCAATGGGGCCGTCATGTAAGTACATTTGACAATTATTTTTATAATCCTCGTATTATTTTAGTTGTAGATATTTGTCTTGACATAGGGGTGCAGATGGGTTGTCACCTTTTAATAAAGTGGGCCCTGGCTACCTCACTTACCAGACGAAACGCAGGAGTGTAAAAAAAATCTTCTCTGAGGTCGTGGTACTAACCCGGACGTACCTGCCTTTACCATCCCATTCGTGCAGTAGCGAACACACTTGCCTGATAGATTACTGTGGTAGGGCCACGCAACAGTTTTAGCTGTTGCACGAATGGGCATCAGGTGAAGCGCCATCTCGCTAGCCACCTTTTCATATTAAAAAAAAAAAACATTATTGTATGAAAAATCTATTTCTGTGTAAACTGTTATAATCGAATATGAAATCTAATTCATAACTACATTTTTCTGATAATATCTGCATTAAACTTACGACATAGGATACCATAAGAATACATTAAAATTAGTATAATGCCATTTAAATAGAGCGCAAAGTGGTAAGAACAAGAAAAGTTATAAAAAACTTGTTTCTACCAATCGGATAATCTTTGACCCCTCGACCTAGCTGCAAGACACTTTTGCTAATTAACTCTGGTGATATTCATTCAATTTAATATTGTACATTCTTATAGGCATATTACATAACATATCAATTTATTTATTACAGTCTTACAACTATGCTACTAGCATAATTTATGATATTATTTATTTATGATTTATTTATTGCCCTACTACAAAAATATGGCGACTAATTTATCTATATTTTGGTGTTTTTCACCACAAATAATTTTTGATTTTCATTCATCATTTTTACTTTAATAATTATTATCATTAAAACAATTAATGTCATCAAGTATACCTAATTACTTGCCACCCCAAAAATAGAGTTAATATTGCATTATTTTGTAATAAGAAAATATTTATAAATATTGAAGTAAATTGATAGAAATGAAATACTGGTAATAGGTATGTAGAGAACAAGTCTACCAATAATAACTGAAGTTTAAAATGTGAAATAAAATCATTTATAGTTCTCTAATAAGATTAATAAAAATAACCCATTAAAATGAATTTAGTATTGAATGAGAATTAGATTTCAATAAAACTTTAAAAATAAAACTATTGTTCAAAAAAAGCGTTGTCAGGTGTGGGGTTCGAACCCACGCTCCCTCTCGGGAACCAGAGCTTAAATCTGGCGCCTTAGACCACTCGGCCAACCTGACTGTTGTCATAAACTGTGAAATTGTAATATAGTTGACGCCTCGTACAGCCAATCACTCAAGTAAAATCGTTGGTTACATTCGGTAAGCCTATATATTTCCTCTAAGTCGAACATTATTGTAAACTATTAGAAAACGTCGAACATTATAACTTTAATTTTTCACCTACTGAAATATCTAATATTTTAGTAGTATTACAATTGAACAGTTATCCACCGACTCACGAACTAACACTAGTAGCTTTATTGATTACTGTACCATGGCCTTGTGTCGACATCTATGAATCATATAAGGCGAAGCAACTATTTAATATTGCCGCTAGATGACTCTGTCTTTAATTTAAATTGCAAATTGCTGATTTTTATGCATTCTATTTTATACAAAACATTAAGACCTCAATTTTATTTTAATACGAGTAATTTGTTGTTTAAATTATTTTTAATTTTTATGTATTTTAGAAACAGTACTTGTTTGTGTTACCGTTACCGTTTGTGTTCCTTTAATTAATACTATGAATATACAACAACGTTTGGTTTCGCCGTTTTTAGTTAATAGAAAATACAAAAGTTCTTTCTTGTAATAGTATTTTTGCTATATATATTTCGCGTAAGGTACCTAAAACTTTCAAAGTCAGAGTTAAAAAATAAAACATAATATTATTTAATACTGAATTATCTAATTTTATATGTGACTGGCGAAGTGGCGGTGGTGATAACTGATGCTACTGCGTCCAATGGACATCTTCATCTACACTACAACACCTGAGGGCTTGCAGATGCGATCCAAGCTTTATAAAAGTTTATCCAGGTTATGGTATTCATTTCACGAAACGCGAAAGTATTGGTAGACCGGCATGTGCCGGTCTACAGTGAGATACGTCTACCGGTGAGTGCGCCTGCCCATTCGTACAACACAAAAAATTGGTACATAGCTGCTCTATCAGCGGATTAATTAAAAAAAATATATAAAAGTTTTTTTATTCAATATTAGTCACAGTTGTCGGTCGTTAAAGAGATCCTCGAGCTGTAGCCAAGAATCCAAACATTAGTTAGTGCAAGCATGCCCACATGCGTGAATCGCCGTAGGTATAGCCTATCAGTATACGAAAGCCAAGTTTCCACGAGCTCTGCGCCCGATGAAGCTTCGTATTATCTATCTCTGTATATTATCACAAGGCGCACGGGGCAGAAATCACTTAGCATCAGGTGGACCAAACGCTCGCTTCTCACCTTCTATCATACAATGTAGAACATATACAGCCCGTCATTGCGGAGTCGCACAATAAATCTGCTTGTGCGCTTGGGTCTGTGGCCATTTCCGCTTCATTGTCACTTTAATATGGGTCATCGGCCTCCGTGTTGCGGGACGTTACACTCCGCGGCGGCGAATTGTATGCACTCCACTAATAAATCAACTAGCTGCGCTCCGCGGTGTTACCCGCGATTAAAAAGTATGTACTTTTCCTCTATGCCCTTTTCTGTACCCCTTGCTTTCAAAATTTTTGGTTGAGTAGTTCAAAGTGTTAAAAACAAACGAAGAAACAGACAAACTCAATGTCGCATTTTTTTATTTATTTAAATTTTAACAAAAGAGTTGAGATGTTAACGCCCGGTTTCCGAAACACTGATCATCGTAAAATATCAACTAATCGGCTGTCAAATGGCTTTTCAAATTTCATTTTTGTTGCGAACAGGATGGTTGAACTCTTTGAATTGATCATTCTGATCATTAAGAAGATCATTCTAGTCAATTCAGAGAGTTTAACCATCTTTTTGGCAACTAAAATGAAATTTGAAAAGTCATTTGACAGCTGATTAGTTGACATCTACGATGATCAGTCTTTCAGAAACCGAGCGTAAGATTAGGATTCCAATACCATCCTGTAAATAACGTTAAATGGTTATTTAAATTTGTATAGTGCGATTAGTAAAAGTTCTTTGTGTATAATCCAATAGTCCAATAGTTACTTTTTTTTATGTGAGAAAGTGGCAACCGAGCTGGCGGTTCACCAGATGTTAAGTGATAACCGCCTGCCCATGGACATTTGCAGCACCAGTAGGGTTGCAGATGCGTTGCTACCTCTCAATTATCCCGTGGGCCCCGGCTACCTCACTGACCAGACGAAACGCAGAAGTGCAACACGTTTACGTCGCTCTTCTGTGAGGTCGTGGTACTAACCCGGACGGACCTGCCCATTCGTGCAACAGCGAACACTGTTGCGTGGCCCTACCACCGTATACTTGAAATAAATACGGGGCCCAGCTCTTTTTCGAATCGAAGCTTCATCAAATGCAAATACGAGTAACTAATTAATAATAATCAAATTGTACTACTTTAACTTGTAATATTTTTTTTCTGAAAAAAAGTAAAGTAACAGCCTATACATATCCCACTGCTGGGCCTCGGAAGGCCTCCTCTTACAGAGCGTATCAAGGTAAGTTTTCTATTATTTACTTTAAATTACCGAAAAGTTAAATTATCAGGAAACGGGGGCGAAATGAAACAAAGCAATCTCAGCACACTGTGTTTACTGTAGGCAAGGGACCAGTATACCCAGAGCCGTCGTCAGTAGCACGGAGTACGAAAAAGCGGTGCCAACGTTGCAGTCGTCGGTGAAGCACTGGCAGACGGTCTCCAGATGGTCTTCGTTGTCGGCCTTGTAGCAGTCGCGGTGGTGTCTGACCCAGCCGCAGCCGCGGGTCACGCGCACCTCGGGGTCATGACCCTTGTGCAGTACTGCGAAGGTCGGTTATATTGTGAATACACAAAAAAAAAAGAAATAGTTCCAAATTCAAATCGGGCTTGTCAAGCTTTTGTGAGTACAGAGATCGAACTCCTCTGCCCATCTGGGTCGTGACCTTTGCGGAGGGCCGCGGAGGTCGTTTATATTATGAATACACAAAAAAGTGTGTGGGTACTTATGTACACGCGTTAGAAGTTATACTTCTTTTTTCAAAAATTTTATCTTTCGCCTTATTCTACGTTTATAGAAAAAACGACACTAACAATAGAAAAAAAGGTATTTAATACATTGAAAGTTTTATTATAACGCATTATCTAGTTAAATACAGTTCATTTAAATATCACAAAATAAATATCGTGAATACGGTTGTCAGTTCTCACGCAAACATACGTAGATGTCAAGCTAACTTCAGGGTGTCGGTTTTTCGTGACGGTGTGCGCGCGCATCGTAAAAATTTACCCTCATAATTTTTCCCTAACGCGCCAAAAGAAGTATAACTTCAAAAAGGAAAAGCTCCACGTTCAAATCGGACTTGTCAAGCTGTTATGAACGCAGAAATCCAACATCTCGCGCACCTTGGGAAAAGCAAGGGCAAAGAAATATTGCAAATTCAAATTGTTAAGGTCTCATGAATATAGAAATCGAACACCGGTAAACTACCACTAACTTCTAGGTCAGAGAAAGACCGATTATAACTTTGCCGCAATGGTTGTGCAAACCCCATTATGCATCGATACGATAATTTTAGCTTGAAAGTAAAATAATTTTAACATAAAAAAATACAAACACACAAAATATATTCGGGCAAACTTAATACAGTTGGAAGGACCACATTTTTTAACATAGGTACTATCGTGTTCGTGGCATATTTGTAATGGAATCTGATTTATCTAATGTACGTCTTGTGTTTAAACTTTTAGAAACATCCTTACTCTCCTTTGCTGTTCTTTGAATTAATAAATATTATCTACGTATATTAGAGATAACCTTTTTGTTTAAAATTGACAACTGTCTTAGACTTCCGTAATGAAGTCGATAAGCCCGATCGAGGGTCACGGCCATGAACAACGTATAAGCGCGAGTAGAGTCTTGCGAGATGAGGGCTACGTAGATGGTTAGTTTTTTAATTTTTTACTTTATTTCAGATATAAAAATAGAGTACCTAATAGAATGCCCTTTATTGAATGTTCAAAAAATTACGTTTGCACTTTTTTATTTCGTTATATTTTTTTATTTCGTTATTAGTACGTTTTGATTGCATAGTCAATTCCCCTGATTTATTTTTAAGTATTTTTGTGTTCCTGTAAAGAAAGGTTCTTGATTGAAAAAATTAGTAGTTCAGAAATGGCTTTGTATTTGTTTTTTAAGTTATCTGTTGTCTATGAGTTATACATTTTTGTATAGAATTCAGAGAGACCAGCGATGCTTATGGGATTGCATAATATGGTTTTGTACCACGCAAGAACATTAACGCAAGTTAGATTTTCCTACAAATACTTAGCCCTGGGAGGTAACTTTATGTTTAGCGGTACGAACTGGTTTGCACTATCTTCCTACAGAAGAATCCCTTCCTCTCGGCAGTGTGGACCCCCGCCTCGCAGTTAGCCGTGCCGAGGAACCTCATCACCGTCTCCTGGTCGTAGACCGTCGGGTCCAGGCACATCGAGTTGTTGGCGCTGTTGCATTCGTAACAACGGATGCCGTTGACTAAACGTAGAAAAAACATTTAGGGAGGCACATAAATCACTTTATTTACTTCTTAAATTTATTCGAATATTGCCGACTAGGTGCTGCCCGCGACTACGTCTGAGTAGAATAGGCTGAAGGCGTAACATTCAGACAAAAAGACAGATATAGATAAAAATATGTATATGAATTATACCCCATGTGTTATTCTGATGTATAAGCTATATTATTGTCAAGTTTCATTAAAACCCAGAAAAAAACAAACAAGTAACAAATATCCATCCATAGATACAAACTTTTTTTAAGTGAGACATTTTCATGGATTACATTGAATTTATTACGTTCAACGTTTTAACTACGTAAAATGTTCTCATTTAATAAGACTAAATAAATTATCGTTATTTGCGCGGGGCATCAGATAATTATTTTTTATGTCAAACTAAATGTGTCAAACTAAAATTGTTATAAATTAGGTAACGTCAAAATATGTGATCGTCTATATGTTATGCAAAATAATGTAATTGACTTTGTGAAGGACAATGAAGCTCATTTAGTGTGCCATGAATTTAAAATGAAGTAAATTCGATTCGCCTCAAACACGTAGCAATACCAGTATAGAATTGTTATATTGGCGAAATAAGACTTATTGAAGTGATAGTAGTAATGTAAGTCTGATTTAACACGAACCTTCATGGTATTACTTTGAAAGTGAATTTTGGACTTAAAGAGAAGACTGAAGCGATTCACAATCACCGATTTTCTAATTTAAACCTATCGTGAAGAATGAGAATGTCTATTAAGAATCTTTTCCATACATTCTGCCCTCGATGTGTTTTCAATAGCCTTTTCAATTAAGTTACCTACTAATGTATTTGTCACCGCGGTTAAATACCATTGCATCGTTGATTGTCACAATTAATTCATCAAATGAGACAGTACTTCGTTGCAGTCTTTGGGGAGGCCTATGTTCAGCAGTGGACTCAAACAGGCTGAAATGATGATGACGGTGGTGATGATGAAGAGAGCAAGGTACGCGCATTTCTAATCAAGATCTAATCGTAACCGACTACGAATAATAATAGAATGGAATGGAATATACTTTATTGTACACGAGGAAACACAAAGGGAAAATACAATTAAACATAGTGTACATATAGGCGGCCTTATTGCTAAAGTAGCAATTTCTTCAAGGTATCCTTAAATATGTTATTAAGCTGTACTTACCATGTTTCACGCTGCCGACGATTAGAAACACGGACATCAAAGATTTTAACAACATGTTAGCCGTTTGGTGTGAGTTCATTCGAAGTATTAAGTCGGTATTGTGGAAGCAGCTACGGTGTTTGACAAACTGTTGCACCCATCCAGCTGACATTAAACGAGCGGCGATTTATGCTAATGCGATGACAATACGCCGCCCTATTCTGATCGCGAGCACGCATTAAGATCGCTCTAGCTTCGAACCAACCCCGCATATGTTTCGACTTGTATTTCATTGTTAATTATCTGATAACATATCCTTGTTCAATCAAGTCTTTCATTCAGCTAAATTTCTGTTAATAGAAGTTCAATATGCAACTTTAAGTCGATGATTTAAATTCCAATGTCATGGACAAGGCAGTTTATTCATACATACGTGCGATCGGCCCAGACATTTTGATAGGGCGGATGAGAGCAGACGATCAACAACTGATAAGCGTTCTGTTTGCTATAAGTTTCAAGGAATTTGCGTTATCAAAGCTATGTAGACAGACTTGCGTATACAGTAATAAAAACACAAAATTATTTGGTTATTCCATGTACAAATTTAGAAGTAAGAGCATTCACAGAACCATGCTGTTATCTAATTCAATTTTGTTGAGATAAGAGAGAGACAAGTAAATTATATCTGAAAAGAACTAATACCCGTGAATTGAGTTCAGCAACCGCAAACATTGATTCAGTGATTAAAATTATAAACAATAAATCCAGAGTATGTTTGCACACATTTATTTGCTAAACGATAGAACTAATTACGTACGACAATATTTGTTATAAAAAATTTTAAAGCCCAAGACCATTGGCTTTATTAAACTTCCGTTCGCCAATTTTTGTAATTGTAAAAGATTGCCGACAGGATTCCGAGAACCGTCGCTTTCGCATTTCCGAAAACGTTTCCCGCGTTGCAAACGTCACCGAAGCACTGGCACACAGTTTCCAAATGGTCTTTATTGTCCGCTGTGTAGCATTCGCGTTTGTGTTTGACCCAGCCGCAACTCCTGGTGACACGGATCTCTGGACTTTGGTCCGGATGGAGAACTGTTAATAAAAAGAAGAAATACTTTAATAAAAGTTACAGTTTAATAATTAATTAATTTAAGTTATTTTTTAATCTGTATCCGAAAAAAAGAGATAGATTGTTTTTGTTAATCTCCGTTAAACACGCTACTTTATGAAAAAAAAAAGTATTGATGATCCTTTTCTTAAGATTTTCTGGTTGGATGTTTTTAATGAAAAATGATGGCAATTGAATAATAGTCAACAAAAAATAGTTTTTTACATTAAAATCTCACTTATCAAACATAAAATCGCTTGACCTCTCCAGAATAAGTCTTTCGATACACGCACTGTTAACTTTGGACTGTATGTTCTGTATGTTCCGTTCGGTCACGCTATGTGAATTGGAATTTGGAAGAGCCTTGTATCTGTAGTTGACATTAGTACCAGTTTACGTACTAATCTGGCTAGTATCATGATTAGTAACCATTAATTTTGTAATTTGTTTCACAGGATACGTTGCTTTGCTCACGGATTAGTAAAATAAGTTTTACTAGTCCGTGGTTATGCTATGAACATATTCACGATGACTTGTTGATTTGAAATGACTTAAGACGTCGGGAATTGACGATCTAGAATAAATTTATTTTTAGTAATTATAAAAAATAATGTATGTAGGTACACTACATATTATAGAAAAGTATTTTTTTTTAATGTAAATGTTAAAGTTATGGATAATTCACAAAAGACATAGCAGAAATATTTTGCAGTACATTTTATGCGTATTGTGTTTGTATAGTTTTTTGTAAATAACATACGTCTTTTATAAATGCTTGTTATATGTTCCTCCCTAGTATGGTGTTATTTGTTGTTGTTTGATACTTATTTTTATTATATTTTTTGTCCTTTGCGACATTAATATATAATTTCCAGGAGGATTTAAACATGTTACAAAAATTATTCACACCGGAAAAAAGTCAAGACACTTACTTGTTTGCACCATCTTCCTGCAAAAGAACTGATTGCTCAAAGCGTTTGGCAGGGCTTTGGTACATTCCACTATAGGCACGATAGCGTGCATTTTGTGTAAATGCATGTCCAAACACGCCGAATTATTCGCGCTGTTGCAGTCAAAACATTTTATTGCTTCACCTGTTAAGAAAATATATTATTTTACAACGCTATCGAAACTGAAATTTAGGCCATAGTGGATTGTGTTGCAATAGTTATATGATAATATAATAAACACTTACACGTGTTTGATAGAAATACTGGCAAAATTACACTAATCACCATTTTATTTCGCAATGTAATAAGCATTTTGAAAAACCTTTATAATTATTTATCCGCAATAATTTCTTATTTATTAATTGCTATTTAATTTTTCTAGGCGTTTCGATTAACAATTCAACTATATGCCCAATGATGAGTATTTCACACGTATTTTACTGTATTTAATTTCGATTAAGTTAAATATAATAAAAAATACATCGTCATAGTTCACTAGCAGGCCGAAGGCAACTGTCTGCTTGTGCGAGTTAACAGGGATATATAACTCGGTCACTCATTGTAATCTGGTTGTCGCATAAAGGGGTAGAACTGGATCCGTTTGGTTATGTAGGATCCTAGCGTGGCCCAGAAAACTGTGTTCTGTGGGAAAAGGAAACATTAATAAAGTCTAAGCCATTTGTGTCAAATAAATCTTACTATCTATCTCTCTTTACGTGGTAATTGTTACGAGGAATTAAGTTACGTGAAGTTCGTGTATTAAAATATAATAACGGGTCTTGCTAGACATCCTGCTGGTAAATGATCGTATTGAGATATTCAATAATAAACTGTAAAAGGCTATTGAATAAAATAAAATTATCTGACACAAACTAGGTATATGAAGGAAAATAAAAGTATTGTTAACACGAAACGACACAGTGAAACATGTGCTGAACTTGCACTAAAAATAATATCAAAAATATCTATAATTAGTGTAAAGATAAAAATAGTGAAATTAATTTGAATTTAATTTAATTTTGAGTGGATGATCGCTCTAATTTTGAGCGGGAGCTCGCTTTTCATTCATTATAATGCGAGCAACCTATGTTCAAATCCCGGTGCCAGCTTCAATGAACTTGTTGATTTTAAATGATGGTTATCACGACCCGAGCAGTGAAGAACAACATCGTGGGGAAACCTGCATACAGCATACTTTGCCTCTTTTTTCATATTAAAAAAAAGTAAAAAAGTGCTTGCGGCTTCTCCCGCCACGGTTTGACAACGGTGATCGACGTCATCCGCCTTGTGGCATTTTTCGTCGCGTTGGCAAGAGATCCGACGGCTTGAGTTTGATCCTTGAGAGAAGGGACAAGACGCAAAGCCCTGGCTTGAGACGCTATTTGTGTAATTGTAGACATATTGGCCTCCGATTACCCCTCGTACTTAAGTAAGAGCCGGGACAGCATCAGATGGCGCAATTATGAGTATCTTTGCGTTTTATTTATTTATTTTAATGTTCACATTATGTATTTACGCCATTTGCTGCTGAAACCTCTACGTCCAAGGCTTACGTTTGATTTATCGCTGCGGCTGGTAACACCAGGGCTGGAGATCTGATCTCATTCGTTTCGGCAAAAGCATAACTTTTCAACGGGGAAATGAAACAAATGGTCTTGGCAACATGTCGCGGGGGCTTGGTGTGCCTAATAACCTTAAGTTTATTTATTAGTATTATTAATTTATTAGTTTTTATTACAACTGTATCACAGAGTAAAATGCACCCTCAGTGACAAGACTGTATGCAACAATCTGTCTCCCATAGGTCATAAGAAAGTTATTTTACAAGTAAAAGGGCGGAAACAAAATTACTAGATCTACTAGATAATCTACTAGAAAAGATTTAATTGGATGATCTTAAAATCGTAAAGTCATCACTCAACTACTGGGCAATTAGAGCCATAAATGTTTTAATTGTGTTATGTTAATGAAAACACAGTTAATATATTACCGCTAACTGTATATTCAAATGTAACGAGTGATTTTAAATGGTTGTGATTTCATTTATTTTAATCACAACCACGAACAGACGGATGTGACCGTTAGATAAGGTAAAAAAAAATAAGGCTAAAGTCTATTTTGTGTTTATTCCTGTTTTAAATATTATTCGTGTACGCAATTAAAAGTACTTACACATGTGTTACATAAAGCTTTTTTCTCTCGTTTGAATAGATTCTATTGTGTTCTATTGTGATCTTGAATGATCTTAGTGTTGTATGGTAATGTCGACTGTGACACCTTACTTTTTTTAATGAAATTTAATTTAATTTGTTTGTCGATTTGAAGCGATATCCGCAGCTGCCGTGGCGTGTACGTTCATTCTCATCGATACTAGACCGAACTATCTATGTAGGGCGTCCAATTGAATTACTGAACGTTGACTTTAAGTATTTGTTATGCGTACTTAGTCGGTCTTGTTAATTGTGAATTGAGAACAATATAATATGTTCACGTTCTTAATAATATGATAGAAAAGTTCCTGGATGGCTTTTTATCACAAAAGAAGGAAATAAAAAAAAACCGGTCAAGTGCGAGTCGAACTCGTACGCCGAGGGTACCAAATATACCGCCATAATAAAATTGGTAAATAATGATCACCAATTTTCTCAGGAACGGGTGGACCTAGCAAGTTGAAGTTAAGGGAAAATTCCGAAAATTAAAAGTTGAAAATTAAGGTAAATTTTGGTACTTACAAGTTTTAGCGAAAAGTAAAATATTTAATGAAGGTATTTGCCATATCTTTTTATCGTGTTGAATCAGAACCTTGATTTTTATACGCCTAATAAGGATTATAGATCTCAGTACCTGGTATAAATTTCCACTCGCTAGCTCCGCCCGTTCCTAAGAAAATTAGTGGTGACACACGGACAGACAGACGGAAAAGATGAATGATGAAATGAAGTGATCATATAAGGGTACCTTTTGTACCTTTTAAGATACGGAACCCTCTCTTTTAAGGTACGGAATTCTCTTTAGATCTAAGAGATGATGTCATATATCTATATAGACAATTATAATTATAGTGGTATTTATTTGACTTTTTTTTCCGTTTTTTCTGTTAGTCTTTTAAAGAGATATTCGATATTATCTGGTATATATTTGATACCCATATATTTGAGAAAATGTTGGAAGTTGAGTTCAGCGTGCTTATCATATTTTAAAATTGTAAATTAACAACACTACTACTAAGCAAAGGCCTACTCTATTTAGAAGGGCATTAGGGCATTTAAAAATTCCAATCCAAATGCAATTGTAATGAGATTATATTAAATCGTGTTTATATTGAATTTAGAATCCAAATGTGCTATAATGATACGCTATAGTCAATGAAATAAGAAAATAGAAGACATTGGATTATTCACTTTATTATTAACTACTTTGGCCTGGCTTTAATGCAAAACTGTTTTCGTTACTCATTCTTTAACCTGAGAGGTTTCCAGAAGTTACTAGGACCTTGTACCAACGGCTTGCATAGAAATATATAGTTTAAATTCATTTCAACGTGCTTTATAGGACGCCACTTTAGTTTCGTATACATTCGTCACCGAGGCAAAGGCACATGCATCACGGAGCCGGCAATGTTTATTAAGAAAAAATTATCCGTGTCGCAAAAGTCACTGTTGCGCGAATGGGTGGGCGGCGAAGTGCCGCGAGCTCACAGAACACCGGCGTGAAGTGGAAGTGTTTCACTTCTGCGTTTCGTCTGATGAGTGAGGTAATCGGAGCCCGCTTTATTAAATGTGCTAACATATCTGCAACACTACGGGTGTTGCTCAATGGGCGGCGGTTATCACTTAACATCAGGGGAACCGCCAGCTCGGATGCCAATCTCACATAAAAAAAGAAACCACAAGAGCTCGTGGACAGTAGGCAGGACAGAGCTGTCTAGGCGCAGGCCCAAATAGGCTCCATTATCTTGGGGTGCTATATTTATAGCTCTGTGAGAGCGGTCCATTGTAATCGGCGCTCTCGACCCACTACTGCGCGATGCAGGAAGCGGCGTGCGGCAGATTGGCAGGAAAACCTGTGTCCCGGCAATTGATAGTCCCGAGAGTAATCTCGTTGCACGGATAGAAGCAAATATTCTGCTTCTATATAGAATAGACATTCAACATTTTTTTTTCTTGAACTGGCCTGCGCTTTGCTACTATATGATGTATGTTGATAATATAATGCATAATAGACTGGTAGGCGCGCTAGGTCAAAATCGCTGCGTGTTTTAATTTAATCTATGAACAGACTTCGTCTTTTAGCATCTTTTCCTGATTAAATTTGTATTTAATATGGTCATGAAGGCATTGACATCCGATTATAATTTTATTTTCCGTATGTAATAAATAGGATTTTATTTATGATAATAGAACGAGTTTGTTTGATGTCCTTGTTAAATTGCAATTGCACGGTGGGCGGACCTAATTTCGTTTAATTTGTCAGATGACAATTTACCAAGCACGGAGATAATTAATTAAAATAGAAAGTTGTAATTCCAATGTTTCATTTATCAGATCACAATTTAAGGACTGCTAGTATTATTACAAGATAACGGCCAAGCAACACATATTTGACACTAGTTTAGGCTTGTTTGCATAGTTCGATTTTCGTTGTAATCGAATATTGTGCAAAACCTCATGAATCTGTTCGCGATCTTGAGTAATGAAGGAAACAATAATTGTAGCCATTTGATAAGAAGACATGCGACCGGTATCGCGTCTGACTGTACGCAGGATGCCGGGCAATTTAGAGTACGCGGCGAGGGCGGCCCAAGTAGTTTAGCGCGTACATTATAAACGTATTATATCCCGCCATCGAGGAAGTGGTGCGTTGGTCAACGCCCACGTGGCTCCGCGTTCGCCTACCTGGAGTCCAGGTCTTGGCAGGAATTCCAACCGAGGCATTCCTCTATATATTGCCTTGTGCAATTGCACATTCTACTGTTGAAGGAGATGCTTCTCAATAGGATGTTACAGCACAGGTGGCTGGTTAATTTTTTTTATGTGAGGAGGCGGCTAGCGAGCTGGCGGTTCACCTGATGTTATAAGATAATCGTAGAGTTGCAGATGCGTTGCCAACTTTTAATAAAGTAGGCTCCCACTACTTCACGAACCAGACGAAGCGCAGAAGTATAACACTTCCACTTCACGCCGGTCTTCTGCGAGGTCGTGTTATTTACCCGGACGGACCTGCCCATTCGTGCAAACAGCCGAAACTGTTGCATGGCCCTACCACAATAAATTTTCTGTAAAGGGCTTATATTGAAGGACTTATTGGTTGTTTCTCCATAAGCAAAGTCTAAACCCAACTTGAACAGCCTCAACGGCTTTCAGAAATGGTAATCACATAGAAAGATAATTAATACATTTGAATTTAGAAATTTAATAATAAAATAAGTTAATTAATTACAAAGTTCTGAATTTGATTTATGTACTACGTTTTTTAAATTTATTTCTTTCATCACTTGCTCGACATTTTTTTAAAACATAATTATGTACTAAAGGTCGAAGCTTGTAATTGGCTCTTAATACTCGCACTTAATAGCTATAAGTTATCCTAATAAAATAAAAAATACATCTCCTTGTTAGGCCATTTATAATTTTCAAACCACCAAACATGTATCTCCTAAAGGGACAATAATTTTCAAGACGATTCTCTTAATAACTTAAGTACGACTGCTGCTTATGTTTTAAAGTTACATAAGTTAAATTTCGATTCTTAGAAATAATCGAAAGCGCTGATTTGTCATCATACCCGTGGCATGTAAATGAAACTACCATTTTAAAAAAAAGTCTTGAAATGTAATAACAGAGTAATTAACAGCCGAGTATAATAGCCTTCTGTAAAGGTGCGGTCTATAAACACATACATTGAAAAAGTAAGAGTAATTTCGAAGGGATAAATTTGTGGCAACCTAAGCAACGTACTTAAATTTTATGAATTTGTTCATAAAAAAGTAAAATTAAGGGTATTAGGACACAGTCCACTACACGACCCCACTGCTGATTCACGGACTACGCATATCTTCGAATATCTCCTTGCTATATATATATATTACTACATGCTGCCCGCGACTACTTCTGCATAGAATAGGCTGAAGGTGCAACATTGATACAGAAAGACAGGTATAATAAAAATATGTATATAAATGCTATGTGTTATTCTGATCCATAATATAGCTTATATTATTATAAAGTTTCATTAAAACCCATTCAGTAGTATTTGCGAAAGACTAACAAACATCTATCCATGGATACAAACTTTCGCCTTTATAATATTAAGTAAGGAAGTAAGGATTTCGAACATATGCAGGTTTCCTCGCGATGTTTTCCTTCACCGCTGACCACGTGATAAATCACTTAAAATTAACAATTGGGGGACCAGTAATCAAACTGAAGATGAGTTCGAGTGTATCGAATTAAAAGCGAACGCCCGGACAATGTATCTATCACGCATATATGTATGATTTATTAGTGGTTTATTTTTCTTCAATAAATTCCATTTATTCTCTGGTCTAACGAAGTGTTCAATTGACACAATATCGATGTAACTTGTCTGTATGTAGGTCGCACAGGGCGCGCCCGTCGACACACTCTTTACGTCACTCACGCCCGGTTTCTGAAACACCGATCATTGTAGAAGTCAACTAATCAGCTGTCAAATGACTTTTCAAATGTTATATAAGTTGCCAAAAGGATGGTTAAACTCTCTGAATTTATCAGAATGACCTTCTTAACGATCCATCCGTTTAGCAACTTAAATAACATTTGAAAAACCATTTGACAGGTGATTAGTTGACTTCTACGATGATCAGAGTTTCAGAAACCGGGCGTTAGTGAGAATTCGCCGAACGAACAAGGTCACATTAATTTATGTGTCTAAACTTAACCGTCGATTGACAGCTTTTCGGAGAGGGAAGCAAATTTATACGCTCTGGATACTAGTGGGAATGTAGTATTACACTTTTCATTAATCTAATGGCAAGAGTGTTGATTCGCAATGTGTGTTTTTCGACATACTAGGACACATGCTAGCGCTACGGACATTAAGCTTACATCACTGACATCGAAAGAAAAACCATACAGTTCGGAGTATAACCAGTTCTGACCCAGTCCGTATGTCATTGTCATGTATTATTCGAGTCACTCGAAATTAACCCGATTAAGCATTTAAGAGTCACGATAAGCTGAACACTACTGGGTTATTCCGGTTTAGACATTTTTTATATGCGTGATTTAACTCTCGATCAAGAGCAAATCAAAAGATCATTATATATTCTGCTTATACGTATGGACTAATAGATTTAGAAGGGCAAGTCATTAGTAAATACTTATTTCTTACAGATATTAAGAAGAATTTAAGGTTGTTACGGTGGTAGGGCCACGCAGCAGCCTCGGCTGTTGTACGAATGGGCAGACTCGTCCGGGTAAGTACCACGACCTCACAGAAGACCTGCGTAAAGTGGAAGTATAATACTTTCGCGTTTTGTCTGATAAGTGAGGTGGCTGGAGCCCAATTTCCAAAAGGTTGTCAACGCATCTGGAACCCTCGGGTGTAGCAGATGGCCATGGGCGGCGGTATTCACTTAAAATCAGGTGAACCGTCTGCTCACTTGGCAACTTGGGACATAAAAAAAAATAAGGTTAGCGTCGTCAGTGATAATCAATGTTTTCACTACAAGTAATCTGATATTGTAATACTACACAAACTGTACCTAGTTAATTTTTTTTTAAATTAAGCTACTTTTTGGCTTTACACATTTTTATAATCGACTACCTTAATGGTCTTCCATAAGATTCGGTGATTCAGTTATTAAGTAACAGGTTTCGGCACAGTATACAGTATGCTGAGGGCTTATTCGCGCCATCATTTTCATCTTTCAGCTCCTGATCTAAGTGTGCATTAAGCGTTTGATTATTTAAATTGCTGTTACAACACAGGATAATCTTATCCCACAGTGAGATGGTGGTATTTTTGAATTAAAAATTTAAAGATTAAATTTAATATGGAAGTACTGAAGCTATTCTTCAACTATTAAAAAGAAGTATTATACCTGAGTAGCATAGGTTTTTCTCAAAAGTGAGTTTAAGGTTACAGATCATAATATTTAGGAAAAAGAGGCACAGTGGTTGACAAGTTGACAATTTTACCAGATCTATGACAAATATGTCAGTGTCTATGTTGTCTGTAATTGTATGGTAGGTAATTGATAAAATTATTTTAAATGTATTTAAATTCTCAATTGTGCTACGAGAAATGACGTTACGTTGGTCAACAAGTACCTACGAAACCGGTCAAATAATCTTATGATACCAGTATAATACACAAAAATGGAATATGACCAGTTAATTATTAAACAAAAACCTTAAGATGCCTGGGAATTGATGATACGTTAATTGTAGATTTAAACATTTCTAAATTTAAGTAGGTAGATATCATCTACAGGGAAGTGCTAACTTGCTTTATGTCCCAAACAAACAGCAATACAATAAGTGAGTATTTCAACAACACATAACAGAATATTCTCGTGAAGACATCGGACAGGCGAAGACAACACAACCCAAGGTCGCATGAAAAATATTTCATGCGGCCTTGGGTTGTGTTGTCCGAATCTTCGACCTAAGAAGATATCATCCTTATAACTGACTAAACGTGTCTTCGCTTAAAACTGGCTGTAGCTCCATCTTCGGCACATCTTTCCCGTCTCGAGACGTCCACCATTGCCCAAGGGCGCTCGAGATAAATAGCTCTATTGAGGTCTGGGTCAGCGATACCTGAGTTGCTCAACCGGTAAGATCCAGGGGCGGCGGTTCGACAATACGCCAATCGTCCGCTAAGCGACCGCCACAATACTTCAACCAATTTAACCGCAGCACCATGGCAATTGGATAAACGCCGCTCACCGCGAATCCAGATCGTAGATATAACATGAGCGGTGGTAAACGCCACCTAGTTTCCATTCAGTCGCGTCGTGAGCACACCCGCGCGCGGTACAGGCCGGCGGGAACCGGCGCGATCTCGTACGTTCGAAAGCGCGGGCAAAATGGCGCGTGTGGCGCTCTGCGTTTTGGCGGTAATTTGTAGCTTGCTCCACCAAGGTTTGTGTTGAACGTAGCGGACGATGATGGGCGCGCCCTGGTGATTTTCCGATGGACGGGCGGTGGGGGGCGGGACGATCACCCGTTTAAGCATAGGATTTTCATTACTTCCGTTAGTTATCTCGATTACGGAGATAGCAGACATTTCAGTACAAGCAACCGAAAACTAAATGTTAATACATCACCGTAGGACTATACGCTTTTGCTATAAAAGGTTTTATCAAACTCTAGACTCTTTTTTTATAAGTTTCACAGCTGGACGCCTTCTAAGCTGAGACTCTAACTTATCGCCATGTCGATTGGCAGTTAGTGCTAATCTCATGGATCTTCATAACGCTACCATAATCGAAATGCTATACTATATGTAGTTATTCAATTGAAACACATTGTCGTCTTTTTGAGTTTTTGGGGTTGGACCCAACGAGAGATGTTGATCGAGGACTGAACTTAGTGGGAGAATAATAACTTTTAAAGTTATTTTATGGGGGGATATTCATTTGTTTTCTCGTCTGGTTGGGTTTATAAATAAAAATAAAAATAAAGATATAGATATATATTGCATATATAAAATAAATATTATGGATAAAAATAAACATATAAAATAAATATTTTATATAATACATATATAAATAGGACCCAACCAGACGGAAGCCCTCGGCAGGGGAGACCAAACGGCCGAGGGTTAGGGCGAAAGGGAGAGAAACCGGTTAAAAGTTATTATTGATAATTTGTTATTATTATGGTTATGCAAAGGGCTTTAACATTTATTTCGATTATAAGTCGGTCTAGATAAGCTTAAAGTGCATTGAACAGTCTGACATCCCAAAAAATTGATCGTTCATGGAACGTAAGATATTATTCTACCTTTTTGAGTTTGCTGCAACGAAATCTATTGAATACCGCTTTCAAGGAATGATTTTCAGTTGGAACATGGCGTGCGTTCTTATAATATTCATTATTCAAGAAATTTAATTCTTTACTGAAGTTCTAACTTAGTATAATCTTTTACTTCTACCAACAGTAGTATGTAAGTTTTGATTTGTCTTTCCATCGATTTTATACCCATTCGGAGTGTTACGGATTCTTTTGATCGCTGCAATGTTATTTCGCCGAAGATATGTTTGTTCTATTCATAGTTTTTGCGCGTGACGTATAAGCAAAACGATCAGATAGTTTACGCACAAGTAACCTTAAGTTCGGAAATAGAACACGACGTCGAAATATGAATTGGATGCTGGGGATTGGGTTTTTTTGAGCTCGCCTCGCGTGCCTTTGACCTTAATCAGAGGATCGATAGATATGATTGTAAGCTCTCATATATTTAAGCCAATAATAGTAGAGAGAATAGACAATGTTATCCATCCTTCATCGAGTAACGAAATATGTAGCTTAACTATTAGACAGTGTATAGAACAAATACCTAATGGGTTTCCACAATCTCTTCTAACCCATATTTCTATTCATACCTACGTAATCTATTCTGGTCATCGTAACGTACAATGTGACATGTTCTTTATATTAAATCAAATGGATTCTGCTTAATTTTGATCCGCTCTTTACTTAGATATAACACGTTTCGAGTTTATCAATTCTGAACCATGACAGGTGACGAGTTTAACACAAATTACAATTGTGAAACTTTTATTTTTGCGTGAGAAAGGGGCGGTTCCTGATGTTAAGTGATAACCACCGCCCATTAACATTTGCAACACAACATAATCGACAACCTTATAAAACATTAAGTTTTTAAGATAGAGATTGTTAAACAAAACAAAAAAGCCTTGAATATTTTTTGTATACAGCTATAGTCCGCTATGGCCAAATGGTATTGTACTTACTATTTCAAAACTTTGTGTTCGTATATGTTCCTATTTAAGTCTTCATTAACTCGACATATTATTTCCAAAAAGTTAAGACAATTACGAAATACACCTAGTGCTTTAGGTCATGTTTTAAATTACCTTTTATTAGTATTAGTTATAACAAAAATGCAAATAAAAGATATTTCAAGTTTCCAGTTATAGGTTTTGAATTTCGCATCTCGATGATTTTGTTGAGGCGAGTAAAATAAAATGTACAGAACGCGTAAGTTTGCCATTCACGTGAAAACACCTTGGCCACACCGATATATTTGATGATTACATATTTAAGTATGTATTTATATAGATAAAATATTGAACGATAGGGGGAAGTCTAGGCATTCACATCCATTTTTAGGACTCTGTACCCAACGCGTAAATGGGATCCAATTAGTAAGACTCCGCTGTCTGTCTGTCTATCTGTCTGTGCGCGAATCCTACTCGTACTTGTCCGGTTTTTTCTTCCACATCTCCCCTATCATCTTACTGAACTTTCTTGTCACTCTGGCATCATAAATTCTTTGGATTAATTTTCTTCATCCTCCTATCTAGGAGTACCTACCAATTACCCAAAGCTTTTATTTTTTCAACTTTCCTTATATCAATCCCTTTTAACTTACGCGTTCTTAAAAGTTAGTTACATTATAAGATATTTCATTAGCCGCACGGATTATGTCATTGCATATAATATTGTTAACCTCAACTGAAATAAACACCTAACCGCAAACGGCATTGCCTCTTATATATCAAAGTTAAAGGACCCTTGCGTCTGTTGGTACCGCCTAATAACGAGGGTATTTTCCAAGTACACTCTATACGTCTACTACGACGGTGAACGTTTGCCGAATTTTGCACAAGGCGAAAAATGTCCAGTCGTATACTACTTCAATTTTTGAACATTTATTGTTTGATTCTTTACTTAAATACATACAAGTTAAATGATAGAACTATCCGACGAGTCTCGAATCTAAATGTAATGTTTTTTGCCACAAACAGTTATAATAACGAATGAGGAAGTTACTTACAATAGCTTAGTCACTTCAGCACCGGCTAGCACAAAAGAAAGTGTGGGACAAGGTTGATATAGCTTTTGTTTTATGATCAATTGGCTCAATGAGTTGGTAAAACTATTAATTCCTGCGCTGTCGTGTACATGAGGCGGAAAATAAATTTATGTATAAAAGTGCCTCTATTGTGTCACCTTTTAGGTTTTCCAAAATTCTCATTTCTCTTAACTCCTCATCGAAAATAAAAATAACCATTAGCATGATTTTACTTCAAAACGAATGATGGAAATTTATAAATAAGATTAATGCTATCTAGTGTCAAAAATGCAAGGTTCATATAGTTTAGGACATCTTGTGCTTAAATCTTTCATGTCATATTTCTACCGTTTCCGTATAAAATAATGGATAACATAAACGTATAAAGCATGTATAGTATTTTACTATATATTGACAGTATTTATACTGTTGATATTGACCGTTGCATATTCACGAAACATTTTCACCGCTTTTCAATTTGCGATATAATCGGAATCTCGGAAACGGGTCCAGTGATTTTCATGATATTTAGTATGTGCGTAGATTCGGGGGCGAAAAATCGATCTAGCTAGGTTTCATTTTTAGAAAATGTCCTTTTATCCCTGTTTTCAGGGAATGAAAAATATCATTCGAATATGACCGTAAATTTCGCCGAAAAAAAAAATTTTATTATAGCTCGGTCGGTAATCGGGCGGCCCCGAAACAGAAGCCCGCGTTTCGTGTCATGATCATTTACACACTTATTTTTTACTTTTTTTTCTATACCAGATCATTGCTTTCTTTATTTGTTTAATTTCCAAAATACACGATTTACCAAAAAAAAACCACCAGGTCCTCCAGGTACTGTTTATTAAAATCTTTAACTAAAAACTTATTAACGTTCAGCCGTCGTCGCTCTGGGATAATGTTACTATTTTTTAACGTTTCCGTAATGACTACGCTCAATTTTAGTGATAGGCAAAAATCCAGCCAAGCACGAGTCGGACTCGCGCAAGAAGGGTTTCGTACCTTCTATAAAAACGCCAAAAATATCATGTCTATTGCATGGGAGCCCAACTTAAATGTTTTTTTTATTTTGTTTTTTAGTATTTGTTGTTGTTTGCAACAGAAATACATTATCTGTGAAAATTTCAACTGTCTAATTCACGGTGCCTGAGATATAGCCTGCTGCCAGACGGACAGACAGACGGCGGAGTCTTAGAAATAAGGTCCCGTTTTACCATCTGGGTATGGAACCCTAAAAAACAAAAAAGTTTAACCTTCTCCTTTCTTTATAATATTAGTATAGACATACGTACATTTGTAGATAACCTTTGTAAATTTTTACCTTTAAAGGAACACAGCTATACACTAAACTACCTACTCACATAAAAAATAACCTCATTTAGGAATGTCTCAATTATCTCAATACATAACTGATGATTTTATGCCTTCCGTTTGAGACGTAAAGCTGTTAACTGTTTGGCGACCGTTACTTTATTTTATTATTACATAATATTCTCATGCCGCTTAGGCGTTGATTGTCATTTTGGGGATGAACTTCTTTAAGCTTCAAATCTATCGTCTAGGCCTGGCGATAGTGTGCTACCAATGCAACAGTCACAACGACTCGCGCTGCCTGCTGGAGAAGCTGCCGGACTCGCTGCGGCTGCCGTGCAGCGGGCCCAAGGACACCATGTGCCGCAAGATCACCCAGGTGGTGGAGTTCGAGATGAACGGCATGCCGCCGGACAGCCGCGTCATCCGCGGCTGCGGCTGGGACGAGACCAGTTACAAGGTAAAGAAGAGTGCATCGTTGACATGATGCTATTACGTGAGACGCCGCCAAATTAGCTGGCGGTTTCCCTGATGATTTAAAACATTGGGCCCCGGTTGCCCCACTCAGCGGGCGAAGTACAAGTATAATACTACCACTTCACGATGGTCTCCCGCAAGAGCTACAAAAGGCTACTGCGTGGCCCTACCGCAGCGAAACATTTACATCGGTTATGTTGTAACTTTTATTCAGCTTGCTTTTACACGCTGTAGCTTTGTGAACGTTTTAAAATATGACAAGGGCATGCGACAGCTTTAGCTGCTGCACGAATGGGCAGGCTCCTCCGGGTAAGCACGGTTGCACGGAAGACTGGCGTTAATTTTGAGTTTTGTGAGGTGAGTGAGTTAGCCGGCATCAACAGACTCGGGACGTACGATCTGACAACGACCGGTGAAGGACAGAAGAACAGATCAAACGAAATACCAAAGTATGAATACTTTGGTATTTCGTTTGGTGAATAAGGTTACCTGGGCCTCTCCTCTGGTGAGGAATATGTAACCCCATGTGTATTGTGACGGTCCATAAGCGGCGTTACGTAAACCTTCCATTAGTTTAAAAACATCTTCCATAAAAATATGAACGTTTAGTTATCAAGAAGAAATGTTAAAGCTACCTCGGCTAACACAACTATAGCGAAGCAACGACGTTCTACGAATTCCAATAATAAAATTTAGTCAATTGTTACGTTACTGGCGAAATTAAATGTAAATATACCGACAATGCACCATCGCTTTGGGCGAATTTTAAAAGCGCGACAAAACTATTATAGAAACTGGTAAAAACTTCATTGTATCGCCGCGAAAGCATTTATAAAATAATACCTATGCCCCAGTCAAACCCGAAAACTCAAACTGTCAGTGTGTAAAGTCAGAGTGAAAATTTTGTACCATTTACCCTTGTGTCAGCAGTCATGAACATCAAAATTACAATCATAAGTTACTGACATTCGTAGGGAAGTGGGAATGGTGATGACCAGTAATACTTTGTCCGCAGGGTCGTTGCTACCAGCGATCTGGGTTCGGTGGTCGGCAAGAGGTGTGCTCATGCCTCGAGGATGGCTGCAACTCGGCGGCCGTGCCAGTAGGAGCGACTGCGCTGATGCTACTCACATTTGCACTGCTAAAGTTCTAGACACCCAAGTCCGTAGCTAGAGTATCCGGTACAGTGTAATTAGTGAGAATGGTTTTCGATAGTTTCGAGCGAATCCCGTAATATGTACAAACGAGATAGATAAATAGATTATCGCGTGAATGTGACACACTTAGTATAACATTGCGAATCTCCAAACCTTCTGTGTTCTCAATAAAGCGCTAAATGGTGTTAGAATTAGCGTTTGTCTGTCGCCCTCTAATGAGTGCCTGGGCGCTTTAATTGTAAGACCTGCGCTCCAGCCGTGTGTAAATCGATGTTAATTATGGAAGACCTTATTAGCTTTATTGTTGTGTTTGTAACATGTGAGTGTATTTATTAAAAGTTTTTCATTAGCATTGACTTTTATTTTTCTCACTTTATTGCCGAATGGAATCTGTTACTGGAATGATTTTCTATTCACTTTTAAAAAACCTTTCTACCTGCCTATATCAGAAGATTACCTAAATAATCATAAATTAGTATGTGTTGTTTTTATTGCTCCAAAAATTTTTAGTCAGATACAGGAACCTATGGACACATTGGGTTCTTCCTATTTGACGCTTTCTGGTAACTTATTTAATCTTGGCCAGACGTTATTGCGTGTATCCATGTCACTAATATTTTAGGCAATTAATAAAAACAGCAATATTTTTAAATAAGACACAAATAAAATTATCTATAATAACTCGAGCCCATCTACAGGTACGCGCTGTACGATTTAACTGCAAAGCAAGTCCTAGCAACAAATCAGAACTGGTTAGTTCTGGATTACATCTGAGATTACGATATCCGCCAACCCTGACCGTAAACTAATTTCATGTATTTATCCTATTAACCGATTTACTACTATACACTGACTTATTCTTTTACCTCTTCCTTACTGTAGAAATATATATTAACGCCCGGTTTCTGAACCACTGATCATCGTAGAAGTTGACTAATAATCTGTCAAATAGCTTTTCAAATGTCATTTGAGGTGCCAAAAGGATGGTTAAACTATTTGAATTGATCATTCTGATCGTTTAGATGATCATTCCGATCAATTCAGAGGATTTATCCATCCTTTTGGCAACTCAAATGAACTCATTTGAGAAGCCATTCGACAGCTGATTAGTTAACTTCTACGATGGTCATTGTTTCAGAAACCGGGCGTAAGTCTCAGAGAATTAAGAGTCGTTGAAATAGAGCAAATTTACGATTTTCAAACCGGGTGACAACAGTCCGTGTGAACGTTTCAAATTGTGCACTTCCTACCGTTGCAACGAGGCGTGTCCTGCCCTCGCGTGCCCAATGGCAAGTCAGTAGCCGGGACGTGCGTCCCCATAAATACTGTCCGTTGCGACTCGAGCGACCACACCGACCTGGGAGCTCGCATCCCGCGCGATTTCTCAGCAATGAAATTGGCTATCGTGCTCGTGGCTCTCAGCGCACTTATGGGATACGGTAAGCGATTTGTTTTAAACACGCTCCTTTAACAGGTTCACCCGAATGGAACTGTGCACGTGTTTATGATGTGATCGTTCGAATTTCTTATCACCCGGTAAAGGGCATTCATTTCATGGATGAATTTGGATTTCTGCACACTTATTGAGAACCCACGGCGATACGATATTTCGAGATTTTCATGAAGAAAACACATTCATGTCTTTTCCCCTTTTTATCATCAATGATATTTTATTGAACCGTGTTTGGTAAACCGGATATTTAAATATTAGCAAATTTAATCATTTTTCTTTATTATACTAAATAATTTTTTTTCTTTTTGCTTTTAATGATTTCTTTTCTTTGGTTGTGCAATGAAATGCAGTTAAGTGCAGTGTGTTCGTCTTTATTGCGTTAGGTTAATAGATACGACGCAACGGACCGCTACGATGTCAATGGGCTATATGTCTCATTATTCTGTGGTGACCTTAGAACTTTCATTCGGTATACCAACCATCTGAACCAGAGTACCCTGGACCATCCTGGCCTATTTTATACACGCCAAATCTCGGATGAAAATAATATAAATGAACATGAAACTGAATCATGTTAAATCTTGTGTATTGTTAATCTACAAATGGATTTGTTTCGGATCTTCAACGTCCTACGTGACGGTCTATACTCGTATTTGGTGATGTCCCACCCGTGCGCCTTGTAGCGCCTGCAACAATGCACTCAAGTAACGGGCCGGATTTAGGGGAGGGCAACCGTTGCTACAGCCCCGGGGCCTCCACAAAAGAGGGGTTACCACAATAAAGACTTCGGAAAAAACTTTTAAAATTCACACTAGTAAACAACATTTGCCTTTTTACCTACTGTACTTTGAACAAACATGATTACATTAAATATTAACAGAAATCAATGGAAAATTATTTGGCGCCAAGGGTCCTCCAAAATAATATGGGGCCAAGGGGCCTCCAAATTATTTCATCATTGTGGCAGTGTATGGGGGAGGCCTATGTTCAGCAGTGGACTCAAACAGGCTGAACTGATGATGATGATGATGATGATGATGACGGGGCCTCCACTCCTTTGTTGCCCCGAGGCCTCCAGACCTGCCCCGCTCACGTTCGCAGGTTCCGCGATCATGTGCTACGAGTGCAACAGCGCTACGAACACTCACTGTAGCGACGCCGTCCTGCCGGAGAGCTTGAAGCGAAACTGCTCGGAACACGACCGCGGCGTGACGCACACGCTGTGCAGGAAGATCGTGCAGCAGGTCGAGCACTCGGTGAACGGACGCTACCCCGAGAGCCGGGTGATACGCAGCTGCGGCTGGGACGAGACGAAGTACAAGGTTCGGTGGTGACGGATCGCTTTAGAATCGGCTAGCTGTCCAGGTCGATTGATGGCGGGCGATGACTCAGTTAATTCTATTCTTACAATCCTAGTGTGAATTCTTGTTCTTTATTTTTCTCCTGTAATGTAATGCGCCGAATAAATTTTTCTTTCTTTCTTTCTTTCTTTCTTTCTTTCTTTCTTTCTCTGTATTGAGGTCAGTACCACCCGACGTTCAGCAGGTACAGCCAACCTTTCAGAGATAACGTACAAATGAAGATCGTCCATCGAGATCGTCGATCTATTTTTATTGGCGCTACTCTGGTTGAATCAATCTCTCTCCAGCGCATTCAATTAACATTAGACGCCGTAGCGTTGATCAATCAAAGAAACAATCTGTCCCTTAATTCTTAACGTTCGCAGTGCCATTTTAATTTTGTTTTCACAACTTTTGTCCGGTACCTTCCACTGTAATCAAAGATTTATCGAGTTCGAATGCTCCGATCCGATGTCAATCGGTGCAGTCCGCAAAATATGTTATAAGCGAAGACATTCTCATTTGTATATATAAAAATAGATGATAGAAGTGATGTAAAATACCTGATGTACGCCTGGTAATTGTTGTCCTAATTGTGAAATATTTAGATCCATAGTTTTAATGTACCCGGTGGTAATAGAAGTTGCCTTTGGACAGAAAACTATTTTTTATTCTTACATGATTCTGCTATTGCCGAGATGCATCGATTTTTTTATTACATACTTCAAATGAGACAAAAACTCTAACGTTAACGCAAACATAAGCTATGTCTATTCTAAATTGTGTTTATATCGAGTATGTAAATATTATTAATGGTGTTTTTCAGGGCATGTGTTATCACAGGGCGGGGTACGGCGGCCGACAGGAGGTGTGCTCCTGCCTCAGTGATTTTTGCAACGGAACGCAAGGCCTGATCGTTTCCAATACGCTCCTCGTCACGACCCTTCTAGCTTACTCAAGTAAAACATTATGCGAATAGTTTAAGACGAACTGCGTGTTTGAGACGACCAACCGACTTCTACGGACGCTCTCTTGTGATTAATTTTTGTAATATGTTTTTGTTGTGTTTTTGTAATCAGTAAGAGGGAAATGTAAGCTCCATACAAACAGTGAACACGTCAAAATCTTTTTGTATAAATAAAATATGAAGAGAACAAAGTAAGCCAATTGATTTCACGTGTCAAAAGACTGTTAGATGTCTATTAGTTAGAGCTTTTTGAAAACGAGTATTTTATTTCACCTACTCCTTACCTTGACCGAGTTTTTATTTTCCAAACTTTTGAGTTTTAACTGTTTACTACAATTTATTTTTAGGGATTTAGTACAAAGCAGAAAATACTAAAAGAACAATACATCTCTTCAAAATTTCACACAAACAGTTTATAAAAATAAAACTTTTATCAGTTTTTGTAAACAGTATTTCTTAATTTATCTTAGAGATTTTTGCTCAGAAACGTAAAATCTTTACGAAGTTCCCATGCCGCATACATTGGCAGTTACATCGCTACTGAAAAGAAAAATTTGAATGACATCAACCTCGGCAAACAAATGAACATGATCATATGGTTGGTTTCAATTATTTTGGCAAGTCGGACATTATTCAGTGCAAATCTAAGATCAACCGTGATTTGAGACCATTACAAACGTTACATTTAGAGCATAAGGAAGTTAGAGCATCACGCCGGCTAAATCGAGTGAAATCATTTTGACTAATACATAAGAATAGATAAATATATATTTTTTTTACTACTGTATATTTCATTGGCCGAGTTTGATGGAGTAGGCCATAGATTTTCAAATTTTGACAATGTTCTGAGAGTATACAGAGATCGACCGTCAAGGAAAAGGTGAATCCCAAACGGTGAGTTATACAAATCAATTTTTGATTTTAATAATTGATTTTGTCTTTTAAGAGTTCGTTGGAGAATTGGAAACGTATCCTGCTGGGATTCATTAAAAACGAATATAAATTCGTCAATTTTAACTAGACGTTTTACGAGGTCTTTCTCCGAAAATTCAGCAGACACTCGACCACCTAGATCTTGAACAAAATGTCTAATAAAGTTTGGAAATTTATTTTCATTATTTTAATTTCAATTCCAATTCTAAGAATTTTTATTATTGAATAAAGAGAAGAATAAGTCTTGAGACTAAAATCGGGATATTCTCCATCTTGAACGAACGAATTATCTTTGACGTCTGCGCGATGGTTTCTTACACTATCCCAATCGAATCGAGATATGAGATGAGAGAGAATTATTACATTCTTATATATATTCTATCTTATTTATAGCCACCAAGGAGAAGTCATGCGATTCTAATTTAGTCAATAAATTTTTTAGTTCTTATTTTTAGAGGTCAACGGTCATTTTTTCAAAGTCATATTAGATGCGTTCTCCACCTTAATCATGATGAATTTGAAAATGTTAGGTGAACTGCAACTTAAACGTGAGAAACAAACATTTGTCTCCAAGCCTTCATCCTAATCATCATCATCTATAGGTATAACTGTGAATGCTTAAATCAGATGACAACTTGTCGAGAAAGTATAATACGTGTATCTGTAACTGCGTTGAGAAAGGTTTTTCTTTTCGTTACAATTTTAGGCCCACTTTTTTCGTGGGCAATTTTTAAGATGTAGAAATAGGTGAGCCGGTAATGAGCCGAGGTTATCTTTATGCTTACTAGATTCTCTAGAACCATTGTCGTAAGTAACACAGGAGGCTATTACTATACTTAACAATGGAGATCGAAGACGACGATACATTGAATCTGAAAATGTTATATCAAAAAATTACATTTTGAGTAGTTTTAAAATATAAATCACACACAATCCGTAAAAAATAGAAATTGTGTGTTTTCTTTTAACATTCTTCCCTTTTTATGAAATTTTCAAGCATCATCGACAGGCTGTTTTCCTTTCGTCTATTTCGTTTTTTCTGACGCGCGTTTCAGAGATTTTGAAGCCAAATGCAAGAGTATGGCAGCGAGGGGTCAAGTAAGCCAGGTGATTGCCGTGGTGGAAAGGCAGATAGTGGACGAGCCACGCAGCATCATGGCGATGGTTTCCAGGCACCTTCGCATCAGTATCCCTTGATGGCACAAAAGAGTTTTGGTACGAGTAATTTTGAAGGGATAAATTTGTGGCACCCTAAGTAACGTAGTTAAATTATATGAAATTGTTTATAAAAAAGTAAAAGTAAAGTAAAAGCCTATACATGTCCCACTGGGCATTAGAACATAGTACACCACGCGAAGCCATTGTGAATTAGCTTACTTCACATATCTTCGAAATATTTCATAAATATTGTGGTTTCGTCACGATGTCTTCCTTCACCGCTAAGCACGTTTTAAATCTGTGGTAGGACCACGCAACATTGTTTGCTGTTGCACGAATGGGCAGGTCCGTCCGGGTTAGTACCACGACCTCACAAAAGACCAGCGTAAAGTAGAAGTCTAACAACTTCTGCGTTTCGTCTGGTGAGTGAGGTAACCGGGGCACACTTTATTAAAAGGTAACAACGCATCTGCAACCCTACGGGTGTTGCAAATTTCCATGGGCGGCGGTTATCACTTAACATCGAGTGAACCGCCAGCTCGTTTGCAACTTCGTCACATAAAAAAAAACTACTTAAAATTAACAATATCATTGGCGTCGGCACCGGGATTTGAACACGGGATGAAACAAAAGCGAGTGACATCTCTCATCTATAACAATCTATTAAGTTCAAAATCGACAAAATTAAGAATTGATAACGAAGAAACTCATGTTTTTTGAGCTGAATACACTAAGTTTTTAAGAACACTGCGTTTTAAAGTTGTACACCAAAACATCTGTGTATTATTCAGGTTCAGCTAGTAAAGATTTACCCGAACAAAACGCAGGAAGCTACTGCAGAGCGGCAACCGGAGCGTACGAAGCCTCTACTAGCAACCAACAGTTTCAGAATTCGCGGTAAATGAACAACCTCTTCCGCCCCCACTTACCGGATTGATCAATTGTCAACTTGTTTTCATGCACGTCTCAGGTACAGCAACCCGTCGGTGCCTACGTTCAGCTCTCCGCCAAATTCACCACTAGTTGGCTTGCTCTTCGACCCAACGTCGGCCGGCTATAGCGGTCCCGTGGCGATGACGGATCGCCTCAATCCAGACCGACGCTCGCAGAGCGCCTGGTCAATCTCCAACCAGGAGCCGATCGGGACGGGTGCCAAGAAGAAGATCGTGAAGAGCCATGACAAGAAGAGCACGTTCAATCCGGAGGTTCGCTACCATGAGCGCTACAAAGACAACAGCACTGAAACGGAGCGCCTCAGGAAACAGGACAAATCGTTGCGCTCCGAATCCACTTCCAGTCTTGACTTCTTCCTCGAGGGCGAACGGATGGTCTCAGAGCTTTGCAATATTCCTGATCTGAATGGTGGCTCGAATCCAAAACAAAACTCGAAAGGCAACCAAGAAGACGAAAAGAGCAATCGATGCGGTTCGTCTGAAATACTGTTAACGGCGCTGGATAAGATAGTCATTCATGATCAGATTCCGAACCAAATAGTCCAGTTGGCAATCGAGGCCTGCACGGACGCTGAGAATATAGCTATAGCGCATCACAACAGACCGTGCTTCAAAAATATACATTCAATCTGCGCTAAAACTAGATCTAATGTGCAGAAACCGGACAGTGCCGTTGCTAATCTACATTCACAAGGCATACCGTGGGTAATTAAAAATTTTATTTTTTCGTTTGTCCGCATCCTGGACGGTTGGAAAGGTGTAAAAGAGTTGCTTAGCGAAAAACACGATACCTTCTCAAGGATTGAAAACAAATACTATAGTCCTAATATCAGGGAATGTTTTGTTCAGTGGCAAGCGGTGACGAAAGAAATGTTGACACATATTTATAAAACGTTCAAATGCTTAGACCATGGATTCACGATGGAGCAGAAAAGTTTCACCCATAACTACTATGCTACTAACTCTGCTGCACCTAGGCACCAAACCCAAAATAAATTTCAGCCGCCGAAGCCGCACATTACTACTCCACGACCAGTGAACGTTTCGCCCCAACTTTATAACGCAATACAGCCACCTTGGATTCAAAGCCAAGGCCAACCTGCGTCACAATCGTTTAACGAGGGCCCATGGCCTGCTCGCTCTGGAGTAACCTACAAAAAGTATCCCGTTGTACCTCCGCCAAATTCCCATAATTTCTACCCTATGACAGATCAACCTGACATGGATGCTTATCAAAGAACACAGTATAAGTGTGACCCTTGCAGTGTTCGCGAAACGAAACCTCGACAGTCCTGGACCATAACCAACATGCCGGACTTTCGAGTTCTGGAAAATATGTGCTATGCAGATCAAAGAGAATTGTACAACCAATTGAAACATAAGATGGATGCAGAACTTGGTAAGGCGCCCGGTCAACTGCTGTTGGGTAACATGCCGTGTGATGTAATGCAACGTAAAGATATGGATCTAAAGGCCAAAATGATACCTTTGAGTCATGTTGAAAAAACTTTAATACCAAGTATGGCGTCGACAAGCGACTTGAGAGGTTGCTACGTGCAAAAGAATAACAGTTGCGGTGACACGAAGGAAGAGGCTGATTTTTTTGCGGCGTGGGGTCAGATGGTTCAAAAAGAACCCAATGAATTTATAACTCATCATTCTCACAACATTCAGATTCCATCCAATGTTGTGATCCCTAATAATATATCTGGCCCCGTGCAATTCGTTGATCCCGAAAATGATGAGTTTCATGAAATGTCTAAAGTATATATGAAACCTGGAAGTTACAAGGTGCCCATAAAGCCAGCAGATCCTATTCCATCGTTTGGCAATCCCCAAGATGTACAGTTTGGTAGTTGCATTGAAGATAACGAAGCTTTGAAGTTGAAATTACCTTTTCCACCTGTGACATTAGCACCACAGCCGAAATACAACATGGAATCGTGGCCTTGTTTAGTACCGCGACGTACTGATGACATTTTGGGTGATGATCAAAAAGTTCTCCCTAGACCAATATTACCTGGCTTAGACTTAAGAACCGTTGATACCCTGGATGTTCTAACTGCTTTGACTTCAGACCGCGCTTGGGAAGCTGCAAAACAGTCTGTGCCGAAGTTTGTAGATCTATTACAAGAGGGCTCCAAGTCAGACACGGCTCGTTTATATGACGCTTTGGGTTTGAGCGTCAGCGATGAATGTGCGGACGATTTCAAAGATGTAAAACGCCGCATTGACGACCATGAATCTTGGCCTACTGAATCACCTTCCAATAATTACACGTTGAAGCCTTTACCAGATTTATGGGATGCTGAAAAACTGAATGCTGCACAGAGCGACTGTGTTATGCAATCGTATTCTGAAAACGATACAACAAAGAATTCAGAACAAGATTCTAAATCATTTGACGGAAACGAATTTACCGAAGGGCGAGCCATCAAAACTGCAGAAGCAAAGCCTTGTCCTAGCTTTGATCATACTGGCAGTTGTATACGAGACGACAATCAGAAGAAGTCAAGTGGGAAATCTAAGGTGGCTGCATCGGGTATGTGGTATCACCCCAAGAAAAAGAAGCCTTTGTCCGCTTCCTTTACCAAGAAATTTGAAGCAATTTTAAAGAAATTCTCGCTAATAAATGAGGCTGCTTTCATTCAACATGACATGGACATTAAAGTGGTAAGATTAAAGTTTGTTATAATTATTATTAAAAAGCAATTAAACATATGAATGAACACATTACATCTTTCGCAGGCACCAAGATTCTACGAAGTAGTTAAATATCCGATGTGCCTTCACGATATAGCAACGAAATTAAAAAATTCTTCGTACACGGATTATGATCAAGTTGTTCAAGACTTCAGACGTATTTTTAACAACGTTAGATTATATCTCAAGGTATTATGACAAACGTTTTCCAATCTGTCTTAAACTAAATAATCATAGTTTACGTTATATCCCATTACAATAAAGATTATAGACGTAGTTCACGTTATATCGCATGTGAAATTTACAGACCTATCCCGATGTTACAATGAAGAAGAATTTGAATAAAGTTTCAGCGGACTTTGAAAGAATGCTAAATGATGAATTTCAAATGAAAGCCGATTCCAAGTTCAAATCAAATGAAACCGCGGATGCTATCGAAAGTTGTAATAGAAGAGGTGAAAAGGATACTAAAAGTCTTGAACACAGCAGTGACAACGCAAACCATAGAAAAGAACCAAAATCTAATGGGGAGTCGAAGAAATAAACCATGAACTTCTAAAATGTACATGATGGTCAATATAGGTAAATTTTAACAGAGTCAGCATTTTAGTAAACGGATCTTATGTAATCTGTATTTTGGAGATGTATTTTAACTATTTTATTTATATTTTTATTTCCCGTCACAATTTTAATAACGTCGTTAGCAGATAATCATTTGTTACAAAAGGAGAACATAAAAATTATGCATTGAAGACGGTTATTTTGTAAGGAATCTAGTCACTCGTTGATGTTTAAAAACAAATGTCAGTGAAGATATCGGAACTTAGAATTAATAAGATTATTAATATAATTTGTAAGTGCTTGCCAATTGTTCCCTTTATTTTATTACATTAAATGACTTGAATGTTCAATTTGATAACCATTATTGTGATATTGCATTGTGCATCACATGATTTGTTCATATTTCTTCCTTCTTACGTTTTTCAATAAAAAGGATGTCCTTTTCCAATGCAGGAAACAAATTTATGTTTATATCTGCACCTCTGCATGTCTCTTTGATCTTTTCTCACAAACTGTGACGATCACAACTATTATTATTGTATACACATATGTGCGATTTAGTCATTTGATTTTGTATCTCTATCTGTGATGTATGTTTAGGTTTAAAGTTTATAATTTGAATCGTTTGTTCCACTTTTCTTTGATTGATATGATTACATGTACATAATGACGCGAATGTAAAAAAAATTAAACTTCAACATTTCAATAACAAACAAGATTTCACTTAAAAAGTATAATTTTTACTACACAATTTCAAGTATTAAATCTTTACATATTCAGTTAAAGCCTGGCCCTATTTTCCCTGGCTAAATATTCAATCAGGCGAACTTCTAGAATCTATTCTTATAGAATTGCGGTATGCTTCTTCCCCCATGTTGATTCTACAAAAAAGTTTATATTTACGTGCTACGTATTATTTTTTAATTTGTTTGTTCATTTAATGTTCCACATTAGTATTTAAATATATTTTTGACTCAATTTTACCTGCCATAGACAATAAGTGAATTGCTTAGGACGTTGACATTAAAATTCTTTTTGGCGCCATTTTGTGAAAAACTTTTTAAAAATTCTAAAAATTCAAAACTGACGCTCGAGCTAATTTTAAGTATTCAATAAGTTGTGATTTTATTATTTAGCTTATTTATTTGAAATTATGGCAAGGAAGTCCTAGGAAAATAAAACGATTGTTTTATATTGTGTTTTTTATTGATGCTCGGGAGTTTTCTTTGTGAAGTGTTTTCTATCACCCCAATAAAATAATACAACGATGTCTAATAAAGTTATTATCGTAAAGATTAATAACTGCGTATTTGAAACTTGCGTTTACGTCACCCAAAGGAAAGCTTATATTGAATTATTCATAATAATTAACTAAGTAGGCAGGCACTTACTTCAAAAGCAGTAATTTTATGGTAAATTTGAACTGAAGACCGGTGCGGGCCACTCCTTTCGACCACGGTTAGTCCGCCATTGGTCAAATTCGGCATAATGCTGAAGGGTTTGTATAGCAAGCCTATGATGTCGAATTAATCGACGATATAGTCATAATGACCTTAGTACTATTAGTCCCAACGGGTGGGAGGACCTTAAGATTAACATTGACGAGACGAATCCTTTTATGCCTATTTTCATCATCATTTTAGCCTGTTTGAGTCCACTACTGAACATAGGCCTCCCCCATAGACTGCCACGAAGTACGATCCTGAACCACCTGCATCCATCGACTTCCCGCACATTTGCACAGTTCGTCACCATCTAGTGGGGGGTCGTCCCACACTGCGATGGCCAGTACGAGGCTGCCACTCAAATATACAAAATTTCAGATATACAAAAGTACTCTTTGCTGCCACTCGAGAACCTTTCTTCCCCAACGGTTATCGGTTCTACGAGCTATATGGCCGGCCCATCGCCACTTCAGCTTGCTAATCCTCTGAGCTATGTCGGTTACCTTGGTTCTACTGCAGATGTCGCTGAATGATTTTGAGCTTCCTCATACGGCCAGCAGTGAAGGACCTGAGGAAGTTTATTATGAACTATGCCTATTTTATTTTAAAGATATTTTTCTGTCCTAAAAATGATATAAATATAAGATGTATAATATCAACCAAGATCGAGATAGACTAGACTGCAAGAAAACGCTTGTGTCTGGAGCAAAGTCCTAGTTCATAATCTAATGAGTGACAGCTTAATATGACATTGACAGAAAGTACAAAAAGTTTTGACGAATTCGCGATTAACGAGTTTGATTTAACCGTTTCCGGGAAACTTGCTAAATATAGCACAATAAAGGTAATGATACCTACCCAATAAAAAGTTTAATGATAACGATGTTGATTTAGAAATAGTTTTTCCTCATCGTAGTTTCATACTTCTTACTTACAATTATTATCCGCTGTAAATATCAACGCTTAACTATGTAGTAGTAATACCGTGAAGCGTACAGGTCTTGAATTAGCTGATACGGTTCTCGGTTAGTTGTGGCGGAGGAGCTTAGTAACAGAGACATGGTCCTCCACAGAGAAACTAAAAGATAAATTTGGCCGGCGTGCGCTGTAAGGCTCCTGACGGCCGCTCAGGCACATTAAGACCACTCTGGAATTCTGGATGCATGGGTTGGACATGTTAATGATGGTAGAGATGGATCAACTCTTCCCACACTCGAGGTGGATTCACGATAAAAGAGTGTTGGTATTGCGTTTCCCTCTTTCCCTATCTCAATGTTGCAAGTGTCCATGGGCGGCAGTGGTCATTTACCATCAGGTTGCTCGTTTGCCATCTTTCCCTAAAAAAAAACCTAAATGATGATTAAAAGTGCAAAGGGCTACTGCTTTCACGATAGCGTTTCGTGCAGCCGCTCCAATTTCCACGGATTTTGTTTCACGCTCTCTCTGCTAAATTGACTATTAGCTGCTATCCCAATTCGTTTCTTCGCTGCTGTTGAATAGCGTATATCTTTTTAATTTTAATTACTTCGTGTTATTACTGTTAAAATAGGCCACCTTTAAAGTTATCTTTTTTTTATGGAAAAGTAGCCAAACGAGCAAGCGCGTCATCTGATGGAAAGCGATCACTGCTGTCCATGGAGACTTGTAACAGCGGAGGAGATCTCAATTGCGTCGCCGACCTTCAATCCTGCATAAAAAGAAGTTCGAATGCTGTGACCGTTATTTTCTTTATGGAACATTAATGCCACTTGAACACCGTATTTTTGCTTTAATCTCCAAACAGTACAGTAGCGTATACTCCACCTCGCGACCCCACTGTGGAGTTGCAGAGTTCACATATCTTCGAAATATTTTTTTTTCTTATTCTGTGCGGTCGTGGTACTTACCCGGACTATATTGCCCATTAGTGCAATAGAGCAGACTGTTGCGTGGCACCCGCGTTCCGGGGCGGTTCTCACCGCTCCCAGCCACCGATTAGCTAATTGCAGTCGACGGCCATCAGGGTTTCGGTCCGAACCGCGACCTCGATGGCCCTTAGATGACACACCATAGTTAAACGCACGCATGAGCACATGCGTGGCCCTACCCACAGCGGAGGGCCCAAACCCGTGGGTTCTGGCTAGCCCACCGGTTCTGCGTTAGATGAAGCTTGAATAGTCTCGGGACTGAAAGCAAAAACATCAGTTAATACAAGATACAGATGTTGCGTGGCCCTACCACAGTTAAATTTTTTTGTACCACAGTTTAAATTTATCTAGATATGATGTCTTTTATGAACGGATTCCGTTTGCATAAGCGATGTCTTACATTCTATTGAGTGTATCAAATTCACTAGCTGTACCGTCGGATACATAGGTATCTACGAAAACTTGTGGACATTGAGTAATTGTCAAAAGGTGCATAAGGTTTACAAATAAAACTAAATCCTGATAAAACTATTCTAAAGTGACTTGTTATGACGTGGTTACCGCTCTCGAAACTTCCATGTTATTCGATGCAAATCATGTGCTTCGTAGCAGTAATAAAAATCAACCGAGGCACTATCGCGAAGGCGTATAAAAATTGGTATCGTTTAATCCTCTAATCTTCCATAATCGCCTAAAATTAACTCGAAGCCGAATAAGCGGTGCGTAATTTGATTTGCGAAGATTTTTTTTATCGCACCCTTGCCAACGCATGACCACAGCTAATAACTACTATCACCTCATCGAAAGTCATGTGTTTTCTCGAATACTAAACCTTGTTACATAAAACTGATTCATGGATTTTATTGCGTTTAATTTTGATTATAATTCGAGGTGGTTATTTTTTAAACATTTAATAAAGTGCTGTTTCGAATACTTACCAGCATTCATAATAATAGGACGGACTGAGGTGATACGCCCTAAAGTCCTCATAAAAAATAACATCATTTAGTATTGTTTGATCGTAATAGCTCAATGTAAGCGCTCGCTTTTAAGTCAATATACTCGTGCAACCTAAGTCCAATCCCGATGTTGGCACCAATTAAATTGCTACTTGCAATTTTGACGAACGACTTCTTGTGAAGGAAAACATCGTAGAAAATCCTATGATTTTTCGACACAATAAAACACAAGTAGTGGTTTTGTAACGCGTACCACACTGCGCGTAGTGGACTAAACCCTCTATTCTCTGTGCAGAGGATGTCTTTGCTGAGCAGTGGGGCGTATATTAGCTGTAACATTACTTTTTTTCGAGTGTTGTCCCTTAAAAAACATTGAAAGACATTTCTAAACGGAATGGCTCTGTTGGAGGTTGGTAATTTCACTATATATTTTATTAATTATATAGAATAGGAAATTGAAAACGAAATCCCGTCGACCACCAACGGTACCGCCATAGTACGTGATGTCGGTGCAGAAGGCGCTAAACAGATTTATTAAAATTCGCCATTGTGCGTTCGGAGAGCTCGGCGGATCGATTCGAGGAGAAAGTAAATTAGTCGGCCGGTATTAGGCTACCCAAGTTGCCACGATTCGTTTACGGATATGATTTTGTTCAGTACGTAGCAATACTATATCTCAGTTAAAATGAAAATACATTAATGATATAACACTGACTCTTTGAATTTATCATTCTGACCATTAAGAAGATCATTCTGGAGATTCTTCAGAGTTTAATCATCCTTTGTGGCAACTAAAATGAAATTTAAAAAGCCATTTGACGGCTGATTAGTTGACATCTACGATAATCAGTGGTTCAGAAACCGGACGTGTGTCATCTATAAGGGTTCATACATTAAGTTCCCGTGTTAAAACTTTTGCTAATCAATAATCTTTAAAGATGTTGGATTCGGAAAAATTACACTGTGCTTTATTACATTTTTTGACCCGATTGCCGTAGTGGATAGTGATCCTGCCTCTTGCGAAAGAGGTTGTGGGTTCGATCCCCACTATTAAATAATATTGTGTACAATATTAAATAATATTGTGTACAATATTAAATAATATTGTGTACAATATTAAATAATATTGTGTACAATATTAAATAATATTGTGTACAATATTAAATAATATTGTGTACAATATTAAATAATATTGTGTGATGGACATAATGTTTTTCCAGTGTCTGGTTGTTTATATATCTGTAATATGTATTTATTCACATTAGAAAGTATGTCTAAATACTTTTATCACTTACCTAGTTACTACAGTACAAACTGCTTAGTTTGGGACTGGATTACGTTGTGTAAAAAATGTATCAAGAAATGTTATTAGGTCTTAACTGACAGGAAAGTTGGTTAAACAGTGTTAATTGATCACCATCGATCAAATGTGGCGGACAGTCCTACCGAACACGGTGAAGCTTGTCGACAGTAGTAAAATAGAAAGGGTGCTCGTTTTTAAGAAAAAATTGTTTTTCTTCAGTGGGACATCTGCTGCCGCCATCCACAAACGGTTGTGTAAATGTTGTGTGTGGTGTTTTTACGATTCGGCATGTTGCCGCCATGTTATTAATATTTTTTTATGTTAAAAGTTATTTATAAATAATTAATGGCTGTAAATAAATGACAATATAGTTTTTAGTGGTCTTGTAAAATATGTGAACTTGTGTGTGTTTGAATTGTGAAAAAAGTATTCATTCGGAATAAAAGAAAATGACGCTCGTATGACTCTCGTGTCAAATTAACGTAAGTCTCATATTTTAACTTTTGAAAATACATGATTCATTTATATTTTCATTCAGATTATATATATCAACACTTAATTAATCAATTATGCAATTTTAATTAATTTTCTGAAAGATATCTCAAAGTAGTGTGTACAGAAGTATCACATTTAGCACAGGAGTTTCTAATAAAGCGTATATGAGCATTGAGAAGGGGTTTATAAAAGTTCATCGCCTTTTATTTATAGGTTCTAAGACGCATAGTTAGAAAGATACGTTTATTTGTTAGAACATAGTACAAAATAGGTCTTAAAAGCTGTGGATCCTTTATGTTCTACCATTTCTGGTGTACAAATATTTCATTTTACATTATAAACATACAAAAAAAAAACAAAACAAAACAAAAGTAAATATAATCTAGAAAAACTGTTTTTATAAAATTTTATCATTTAAATAATCCCCTGTGGAATAGTAACATTTACTTATCAAAAAGTTAAACAGATTTCGCTTAAACAATTTTAAATTCAAACTTTTTAATCTATTTGGTAATTTATTATATATTCTAATGGCCATACAATAACAGTTTTTGCTGAACATTGTGGTACGATGGGGAGGCATGTGTAGTTTGTTCGAGAATCTACTATTTCGATTGTTTATTTCTAAAATACTTTTAAAGAGGGCCGGATGTTTATGAGCGAATATGCAAATTTCGAAAATGTATAAACAAGGTAGCGGCAGAATATGGTGTTTTTTAAATATATATATAAAATATAAGAATATAATGGTACACAACTGTCTAAGTATTCTGCGCCACTTATAGATCTGATAATTTTTTTTTGCACTCTTAAAGCTCTCTAAAAGCTAATAAAACGTCACTATTTCATTATGAAATATTTCTCTCTCAATTTGTTTAACGTAAAGAAACATACAGTCAATAGCTATATTATTTTACTCTTTAACATCTTGTTTAATCCTTTGTATACTTTTTATTGTATACTTTGATACAGCGTGTCGTTACAATCGTGACAATAAATGAACACACCTATAGAGGATAACCTTTTAAAATTAAAAACATTTAAGTACAATCTTTAAACATCAATATTTACAGTGTTAGTAATTTTCCAAAACAAACATTTTTAGAACACCCTTACGTGTAAAACTGTAACGTAAAGTTCATTTGTAAAGTTCACAAAGCATAATTATGAATGGGTTGAATGGTTGCGTGGGTTCAATTCCCACAGCGGCGACAATCTTTTCGTACTTTTTCTACAGGTTTTTTATGTTTAATCTTAAGTGCAGAGATTAGCACTATAAAAAACTTTAAATTGAGATAAAACATACTGTTAGAAGGAGAGATTTGTAATGCGACGCTGTAATATTATACATTGTGAAATGAAACTATTTTACGGATTTTATCGCGTTTACTTCGATTTTTAAATACCCGACATTTCGAGCCCGGACCAGCGTTCATGGTCACGGGACACTGTCCCGTGATTGTTGTCATTGTGGTCATTTCACGATGAATACAATGCGCTTAAAAATCACAAGTTTCGGATAAAAGATTATTTTATAAGAGTCACCTATGCAAGAATAGTTTCATGACAAATATTATCACTGAATCAAACTTATAGACTTTATTCAGGACATGGTATGCTTCTTCATAATTTTTGACTATGACTAATTTGTTTTAAAAATAGTCTTGGATGTTACACCTCATTACTCTATATCTGTGGCGGATGATCTAATCTATGATTGATGGTCACGGGTTTGATGCCGCTCACATATCTGTAGATCTTAACGTTTTATATGTTTTGTTTATGAAAACCCCTGTATGTCGCAAAATAATATTTTCCTATGCTAAAGACAACGTATATAACAAGTGCGAGTTGGACTCGCGCACGAAGGGTTCCGTACCATCCATACTAATACTATGCGAAAAGTAATTCGGTCTGTCCGTCTGTCTCGCTTTCACTCCAAAACTACTGAACCTATTTAAATGAAATTTGGTACACAGATAGTCTAGAGCCTGAGAAAGGCTATTTTTATTGGAAAAAAGTGTTATAAAGGGTTGCAAGATATTTACTGCAAGGGTTTCAAAGCGAGCGAAGCCTCGGGCGAAAAGCTAGTTATCTATAAAAACGGCAAATAATCATGTCTGTTGTATAGGAGCCTCACCTAAATATTTTTTTATTCTATTTTTTAGTATTTGTTGTTATAGCGACAACAGAAATACATCATCTGTGAAAATTAGAACTGTATAACTATAACGGTTCATGAGATACAGCCTGGTGACAGACGGACAGGCAGACAGCGGAGCCTTAGTAATAGGGCTGTTTACCGTTTGTGTACGGAGCCCTAAAATTCATTTATTAGATTAATTCATTCTCTGACCTGTAATATGTCACAGACACGTTTTAAACATTACATTACAACCTTTAATTTTTGTTAAAGTTTACTACGATAAAATATTACAAGCCGTGTACAAGTTTCTTTTATATTTGCTAAGGTGGAAAGTAGTTAGTTTGACTGATTTCAAGTGACAACCGCCACCGATCGACATCTAAAACACCTGTGTCATTAAAATATTAGGTCACGGCTACCTTAATAATCAGACAAAAGGCGACGGTAGAAATACACGATACGTGCACCTATTGGTGCAACAACGGCACTAATTTATTTTCTATACAAATGAATAAAATCGGAGTTTTATTGTACATATTACCAAAATATTTTTTTTACAATTTTTGTCTGTCTGTCTGTTTGTTCTGGCTCATGTCGGCAACGGCTGGACCGATTATGACGGGATTTTCACAGGCAGATAGCTAATGTAATAAGGAGTAATTCAGGCTATATTTTTATTTTAGAACTTTTATCTATTTTAAATTCCACGCGGACAAAGTCGCGGGTACAACTAGTTAATTTACATGTATAATATATAAAAATAGATAAAGACAACGAAGTTTAAAAACTAAAAATATTAAAATAAAAACTAATCTAAAAAAAGTAAACCTATTGCTTCTGTTTGTCAATTTTTTTTTCCTGTTTTGTTATGTAAGGCTATTCACGGCCTCTAGTATTATCAATAAAGGGAAAATTGAGTGTTTGGAAATTTTCATGCACTGTGTCACCGTGGGTCCAGGATACTTTCGTCCCCTTCCTTGACTCGGTTGATAAGAATATTAACGGACTAAGTTTCGAATTGTCGTGTTAGGGCGCGGTTGGTAATTTGATGCGTTTAGTACTTTCTTCTTCTTCATGGTCTCCATTACTGAAGGAAGTGTCCGTCTTGAAAAGCTTTGCCAGAATCGGTGACTGCTTCCACACCACTCTGTCTTCGGCTTTCTTCAAAGCAGTCCGGTTAGTAGATTTATATTATCAGACCAACGGGTAGCCGCCCAGGTGGTCTTTTGCCATCCACTTTCCCAACCAAAACCAGTTTTTCAAAATTATCTGACTGCCTACGGGTGATGTGTCCAAAATAAGTCAGGATTCGTTGATAGCAAGTTGTCGAGAGTGTGGTCTAAATGTTTAGTTTATCAAGAATGGACTTGTTGGTACTTTTCGTACGTTTGGTAAGGGCGCGTACGTGCGTACTTACGTACTTGCGCATACGTGTGTACGTGTGTACGTGCGTACGTCAGGCGAAAGATCTGTTGGGGATGGAAGCGATTCGTTCAAAGTTAAATTACTCGGGAGGAATAAGTTCTTTGGAGCAGATATAGTCCTTCAAGCTGTTAAGAATAATGCGCTTTTAGGTACAGCTTCCCCAAGCAATTAAGGAGATTGATCGGGTGATAGCAGAGTGTACGAGGGATATGAAAAGTTATTGAAATAAGGAATATCTTAATTTCAATAAAAAATATGTTTAGGTGATTATTGGCTTGGCATTTTATCATTTACAACCATTTCAATCAATGTTTTTAGTAATAGCCGCCTCTATTATAGGGTTCACTCGTCAAAGAATACTTTGTAGATGTGTAAATCAAGAACTGCTTAATCAATATTAACAATATCAATTAAAAGAAAGGGCATTATCATAGGGCACTTGCCAGAATAAGTCCATGACACCTATCTCCAAACGCGGGAGGTTTCTCAACGCGGCGGCTTTTAAAGGCACACGATAAGATTAGGAAGCCAAATAAATTTAAGGGAAAATTACAATTAACTTAAGGTTCGTCAACATGTTACTCAATCGGCTCGAGATATGGTTTATTTATATTTTTTATAACACGCTTTTCCTTGTAATGAATATTAAATGCTCTAAACCACAGACTACTTATACGTTAGATCGCGCATTCAAACATTATTACTTTATTCATCTGTAATAATAACTTTAATTTGTTTAAAATATCTAATGCAACACTTTTTTGGCTCTCCGAATTTATTATGCAAACTCACGCCGGTGGCCTGCTCTCTGATCTTTGATCTTCTCTGATCGGATGAAATTATTCCGCACTACTTTCAGACGAGTTTGGGGAACATGTGCGAATGAAATTCAAGCATCGGACCTTCTATAGTTATTATTATTATTATACAGCGTGTCGTTACCACCGCGACAATAAATGAACACACATATAGAGGATAACTTTTTTAAAATTGTATTAAACATTTACATTCTTCAAACATCAATGTTTACCGAGTTATTAAATTTTCCAAAACAAACAATTTTAGAACACCCTTACGTATAAAACTGTAACGTAAAGTTCATTTTAAAGGTCACAAAGCATATGAATGGGTTGAATGAATTTAAAAGAAACAAAACATACTGTTAGAAGGAGAGGCTTGTATTGCGACGCTGTGGCGCGAGTTGTATAGGATGTTACAAATTTTGTATCTTTTTTACTTAATTAGTTTGTTTGAAAAATATTTTTTTTTAATTATGGATTTTGTTTAACGTTAATATTTTTTTATGATTATTGGCAAGTAGCGTAAGACGTGTGTTCATTTATTGTCGCGATGGTAACGACACGTTGTATATACTTTATTGTACACCACAAAAAGTTTACTAGCGTCTTTGCACGACGAATTTGCTTAAGAAGTTCATTCTACAAGCAGATGGCCTTGACTGTTAAAGAGTTTTTGAAATAGTTGGTTTTATACGCCGTGTGGACTGTGGTTCTAAAATTAGTTCTCCAGCGGATCGCAGAACTCTTTATGGCCGGTTATGTCCAAGAAACTTGAAGTGTTCCTTTAAACGACGACCCGAATGACATAGTGGGTAGTGTACATGACATAGTGGTTAAAAAAAACAGAATATAAAGCAGGAGTAGATACGTTTTTCTGCTAAAGGTCTTTGTATCGTAATAATAAGCCAAAATCGACTTAATGTCGTGCTCAATTTAAAATGGGATAGGAAGATGTTGAATGTATACTTTGAAGAAACTAAAATATACAGTGATAAAACTAAAATATATATTTTACGGTGGTAGGGTCACGCAGCACCCTCGGCTGTTGCACGAATGGGCAGGCTCGTCCGAGTAAGTACCCCGACCCCACCGAAGACCGGCGTAAAGTGGAAGTATAATACTTTCGCGTTTCGGGTGGGTAAGTGAGGTGGCCGGAGCCCAATAATTTTCAAAAGGTTGTCAACGCATCTGCAACCTTTGGGTGTAGTAGATGTCTATGAGTGGCGGTATTCACTTAGTATCACGTGAACCGTCTGCTCGCTTGGCAACTTTTTACATAAAAAAGAGAGCTTAGGATTGTAGATGAATCTTTATTTTGTAGTTTTTATATTAAAATGTATCGATCGAAAATATATTCACAGAGCCACGAAAGACACTCTGACGTTAGCCTTACACTGCTCATAAATAACATCTGAGGCGGTGAAATATGAGGCCGCGTCACTATTTTACAGCACGGATAAAACACTCCAGGACTATTGCTCGATTAGTGTTGTGATTCCGGTGATTGCTTACCCCTCACAGATAATATTTATCGGGCGGCGTGACGAAGAAAGAGCACTATATATTGGCGGCGTTTTGCGTGTCACACAATCAGTTTACGGCAAACGGGCAAACGGATAAAAAACACGAGCGAACACTTTCGGAATCTGGGCGACCCACCAGACTAAGTTTCGATTTCGAAAAATCAAACGGTAAATGATTTTTTTATTTTTTAATGCTTTAAAAAATAATCTATTATTGTGACCAAAGTTTTCGCTATATTATGGCAACATTGAGATTTTCAATTTGAAAAACCTAATTAAATTTAAACACAAAGGTCATTTTGCAAAAATTTGGTGTTGAGTAAATTATAAGGTATGTATGTACCTTCATAAGAAAAATATGTTATCGATGAGTAAAATATATTCAACATATAAACTTCAACAGTTCTTTCTTCAGAAACGAATAACTTACTATACGCTACATTTCGTTTTATAAACGCGTCACATGTTCACTCATGTTCCCTATCACTGATATTTTCTATAAATTCATACCATATTACCTTGTTTCGTCTATAGTTATTAAGTGTTTAATATGAAGGCATTTTCGCGTAAGGTCCCTTCTCACCGTGTCATAGAGTGCCCGTATCTTAACTGTCAATGGCACGTCCATCACAATAATTTCATTTCCTAGACGTGAACCTTCTGCAAAGTTAAATGCATAACTCCGATCTATTCATCGGGTGACAACATGATCTTGTACGACATGAGTGCTTTGATATTGAACATAATGAGGAAGAATAACATAGTTTCTTGACTTAATGAGATTCCAAATAAATTCAAACTCTGAATCTATATAATCTTTCATTCTTACTTTTAAACAAATTACGAATATTCTTCTTACTTATTTCTCCAAGTGTTATTGGTGTTATCATGTTCGGGTTTCAAGGGGAGCCCTCTTTGGCTATAAAATTGAAAGAGACATTACGCATCTATTTTTTTTATATAAGGTATCGCTCAAAAAGAAGGCCCTAATCTCACTCACCAGACGAACGGAAAAATCGATCTTCTCTTAGATCGTAATACTTCCCCGGTGCCTGCATATTCGAAGAGGCTGTTATGTGGTCGATTTTGTAAATAAAACACATGATTCTTGGGTTATAATTTGCTGAATGACTATTTAAAAATATTTATGTTATTATAATCTCCTTAAATTTTAATAATAGCATTAAGGTCGGTTTCGCGATAGTTTATCAGTGTAAAGTTTCAGAATATGAAGCAATAATTCGTATTGCAATTGACGTATCGGTCTGAACAGGTTTTCGTTTGCTATGTGGCATTTACTTAACGTGAAATTATTGATCACCCTGCTACAACTAAGTATATCAAGAAGGGTAAGCGGAGCAATACCTTCTTTTTCCTTCTCCATATTCCTTACGGTAACCCTTAAGGCAGTCCTCAGTATCGCCAATTAGTCGATATACGTTACGATGCCTCCTCTGTTGATCTACTTGCTTTCGCATAATTTCTTTACTTCATTTCTTTTGATTCTTACCATGTGATCAAACAGTAAATCAAGTTTTTTTATATGAGAAGGTGTCAAACGAGTTGGCGGTTCACCTGATGTTAAGTGATAAACGCCGCCCATGGACATTGAAGACACGTTGGCACCTTATAACCGGACCTGACCATTCATGCAAGAGCCGAAACTGTAGCGTGGCCCTACCACAGTAGTGTAATATATGTGCTGTTGCAGATGTTGTGGTACGTAGTCGGGGTGGCCGCTCTGGCGGCGTGCGTGGCTGGCCACGGGCGCGTCATGGAGCCCCCTTCGCGTGCCTCCGCGTGGCGCTTCGGCTACCCCACCAAGTCCAACTACGACGACGACGGCCTCAACTGCGGCGGCTTCGGCCACCAGCACGCCGTCAACGGTGGCAAGTGAGTGCAATTGATACCTCTGAAGCTTCTCGTTCGCACTGGCCACACAAGGGCGGATTTACGATTCTGTCGCGTTTGGATTCCATTTTTAAATTTGCCTAACTGCATTTGAACTTTTCCCACCATCGTAACAATATGGGTGTTTGAAAATATCGCTTGGATTCGGCTTTTTTGAGGAATTTTAAAGTTTGAAAAGTCAATAATTCTGATATATAGTTTCGGTGTAGTCTCTCTGTTTCGGGTGGCGAAATCCTAGGTCTTTTATCCGGAGCCCACTCATTTAAACATGTTCATGGTTGCGGTATTCACTTAATATTAGGTGAATCGCCTGTTCGATTTACAACTTACACATTAAAAAAAATATACATATATGTGAGCATTGAACTAAAGAAAACAAAGGGACGCGAAAATAGTTTGAATTTTTGTATACTGAAAAATGTCCCTTAAATTTTCCGTGGTTAGATTATATGAAAAGATTAGAAGAAACAAAAACATCAATCGTCACACCAATTCTGCACAAATATATGTAGTAAAATGCAAACAAATAGATAATTACACGAAGGCACTTCAGTTAAATGTCGTGTAATTTAATATACCCGTATACGTTGCTCGTCGTGAAAATACCAAACAAGTGAAAAACAATAGTTTTCAAGTACGTTAAAAACATGTTTAATCTTCTTCCTTCCAGATCGGTAGCGAGTCAATTCAACATCCGTAACGTTCACGGATTCTTCAAATGTCGCTTTTGACATAGTGTACGAATTGATAAAATCAATTTATTTATAACTGTGTATCTGATTGATAGTTATCATTTAAATTCATACAACATCAAGCAACATTCAACATACTTACCTATTATAAATGAGTGAAAATAAAACCCTTCTTTTAGTGTAGCAGCCATGACTTGTATTAATGTTATCCATAAAAAAAAATAAGAATGATTACTTATGGTTGAATTTGGAATAGACACTAGTTTATTTTTCCTTTAATTGTACCCTCTCTCACTCCCGTTTATCATAAATCTTACGGTATTTTTATTAATGAAGACAACAAAAGCTTTCTGTGCTATTGCTATTTAAACTAACACTTTTAAGCATAATTTAATGGTGAATCTTCCTCCAGATGCGGTATCTGCGGCGATCCTTACGACCAGCCGCAGCCGAGGGACCACGAGCTGGGCGGGATTTACGGGGACGGCATAATCGTTGCTAAATACTCGGCCGGGCAGGCATTCTCCACCACCGTCGACCTGACGGTCTACCATCGGGGCCACTGGGAGTTCAAGATCTGCCCCGACCCAACAAGGAACGACCAGGCTTGCTTCGACCAGTACCTGCTGGAGCTCGAGGAGGGCGGCACAAAGTACTACCCAATTAAGGGCGGCCGGTATATAATGAACTACCGCCTCCCGCCCTACCTCGCGTGCGAACACTGCGTCCTCCAATGGACGTACACCGCCGGCAATAATTGGGGCGACTGCAAGAACGGCACTCAAGGCCTTGGATGCGGCGACCAGGAACATTTCAGAGCGTGCTCGGACATCTCGATCGGTGTACCAGTCGCCTATGCAGAAGACGGCGACACCAATGAGTACCCATCCTCTTACTACCAACGCCTGGGCTACTTGGACGTGAAAGGTGAGGCCATCGACAGAAAGTAAACCGTCCCGAAACCGATAGACGTCTTTGCCTTAGCAGTACGCTTTAATTGGATCAAGCGAATGTTCTAAAACGAAGTAACGAAATAGCTTTAAACCTAACCTCTGTAGAGACAACTAACTTTGTAAATATGTAGATAATTAATAACTTGTTAATTTATTTCCTAACCTAAACTTTTCTCTGTTAGCTACATAAAAACCTTAATACTGACAAGTCGATGTAAATAAATAATATTTATCAGTATTAGTAGGTAAGTAAATATAAAATATTGGCGGGATATTAGCAAAACCAAGTTCATGGCGGTGTATTTGATATTAATGCATGTCAATAAATAATTATTTATGGTCACATTGTCTTTGATTGCACGCATGAGTTAACGTGAGCTGTTTATTGCTTTGCCAAATGTATTGCTTCCTCCTATCTCTATTTATACGAATGGTATCTTTATTGTTTGGTCTTTGACAAACCCTTGTTTATCAGTCACGGCTTAATATATTACAATTATAACCTCACATTTTTATGCTCAAGATTGCTAATTCAGTTTGACATTTATCAATAGTTCGTTTTCAAGGTAAATGGCAGATATGTTAACTGATTGTTTGCTTTCTTTTGGGCATTACGTTATATTTTATACTACCTGCTGCCCGCGACTACGTCTGCGTTTAATAGGCTAAAGGCGTAACATTCAGACAGAAAGACATATATACATGAAATATGTATATAAATTATAGACTAAGTTTTATTCTGATGTATAAGCTATATTATTGTTAAGTTTCATTAAAATCCATTCAGTAGTATTTGGGTGAAAGAGTAACAAACAACCATCCATACATACAAACTTTCGCCTTTATAATATTAGTAAGGATTTGTATTTGTCTATACAGCGTGTCGTTACCAACGCGACAATAAATGAACACACATATAGAGGATAACTTTTTAAAATTGTATTAAACATTTACATTCTTTAAACATCAATTTTCACAGAGTTATTAAATTTTCCAAAACAAAGAATATTAGAACAGCCTTACGTATAAAACTAACGCAAAGTTCATATATAAAGGTCACAAAGCGTATGAACGGGTTGAATGAATTTAAAAGAGACAAAACATACTGTTAGAAGGAGAGGCTTGTAAAGCGACGCAGTGACAACGAATGAAAAAGTCTCTGAATGTATGAATCAGTCAGTTGTAGTTGTATAGGATGTTACAAATTTTGTTTCATTTTTACTTAATTAGTTTGTTTGAAAAATATTTTTTTAATTATGGATATTTTTTTAAGTTAATATTTTTTATGATTATTGGCAAGTAGCGTTAGACGTGTGTTCATTTATTGTCGCGATGGTAACGACACGCGTATATGGACATGAGTGAGATACTGAAATAAACCTTCACGACAAAAAAGAGATGCTTTATCCTAGTAACACGATTCGTATTATGTGATCCCAAACTATATATGACAGTTCTTATAGCTTTTCTGCTAGAACATTTCATTATTAAATCGAAATAAAGTGGCGACTAACGATTACGTCTATTGTGTATCTTGCTTTCGTGTTTACGGTTAATATACCACTGCGATACAACGGCGCGTCGTTGCCATATAGAAACTAGACAACTCCGGTCTTATACAGTACAGTATAAACACTAAACATTGACAGGATCTGTCCTGTCAATGTTTAGTTAACCACTTCTGAGTGGTTTCACTAAGCGATATTATATCAATCTCACAACAAATAAAGTAAGTTCCGCAATAATGGACTCGATCTGGAAAAGTAAATATTTTGTTCGCTATCGGTCGACGATTCAAATTCTTACTGTATTGAACTGATGTATACAGTCGTTTAAATAAGATTAGTTTCACCCCTAGACGTTTGCTGGCTTTTCCTGGTAGATGGCGCATTAACCTGACATGCCTACATCATCATCATCTCAAGATGAAAATAAGCGGGCGTGAGAAAAAAAATGCAATAACCGAACAACGTTTCCATAATTTAAACATATTACTCGCCGGTGATGCCGCTGTGGTGTTTAAAAAAATACAGATTGCAAATTCAAATTGTTGACTGAATCGGGTGAAAATTTTAGTTTGCAACGCAAATTTCTGAAATTTAAAATCGGCAACTGTAAATAACTTTAACACAATTTTTCGACAGCCATGTCGAAGCCACGGGATAGTCATTTCATGGAGACTCATGTGTTGAGAAATCGCGAATCTTCGTATGTGGTTCACAAGAGTAACCTCAAAGAAGGAAGTAAGTGCAAATTGGACAGGACGAGACTTCTCACAGTACAAATGAAAATTTACGTAGTCATTGCCCTGCCGGCGAGCCTTTATTCCGGGAGCACCAACATACCAGGCATAATTTCGATCGAAATTATGTCTTGGACTGAATAAGAGTACTCTGGTATAGGGAAAAGATCTGATTTAAGTGCGGTGAATGGACGCCATTCACATTTGGTACACTGTGCCTCTTATACACGGTTGGTAGAAGCTAGAAAAACCTAAAGTTTTTGCCAAATTAAACAAGAATTCAAAATCATTCATTCATGTAGATGTACATGGGCGGCAGTCACATAAAATCATGTGATCCGCTTGACCAGTTTCCATCCTCTGACCGTTGAGGTACTACTACGAGGTGATACGCTAGTAATATAGTTCAATCAATACCTCTGACATAAAAATACCCATATTCAACATGCTTTCCTTATCTCTCCGCTTTCGCTCAAAATCGAAAATATACGTTTAATCCGAATTAATAATTATGTTGTAATTAAGTAATACAGTTGTTTTCTTGTTCATTGTGTTCAATGACTAGCAAGCCCAAATAAATGGAGAATATTTTTAAGACGATTCTTTTAAGACAAAACGCAAAAAAATCAATATGAATTGATAAAAAATTGAATAATGTCAATAATAATAAAATTTAAAGTCAATTTGACCGCATCTTCCTGGACGTTGTTTCTTTTTGTTGACGACATCTTCCCATGAAACGAAAATGTGTAAGATTCACAAGCACTTGTTACGTTCACTCCGTATTTTGGGAACCGTTTTAAGACAATAAAAAAAAATTATTAATAGATTTGGCTGAATTTGTCATCACAAACAAACTATTGTCAAGAACTAGCTGTAGATTGGTAAAGGTGCACAAAACTCAGAGAAAACAACTGTAAATTTTAAACGCAATGAATTAATTGGTTAGCAACAATACATCCTTAAAGAGAATTATGGAGCTATTTATTTATTACGCACATCAGCTGAGTAAGGTTGCCCGTACTACTATATACTATGTATAGTATCGTAGTATATTTTAGCCAACTGTACTATATAATTTCGTTCGAAATATACTGTAGTTTCAGTGCTAATTCAATTATCTCACTTTTTTTATAAACTGCAACTTTTGTAAACTGGAACATATCCATGGCGTAGCGTGATAAATTTCAGAAAGATAGAAATGTTTCCAATTCTTATGATTATTTTAAAAAATAGAGCCTCGCTAAAGCAATAGGTAATAGGTAATGCTTCATCATCATCATCATTTTAGCCTGTTTGAGTCCACTGTTGAACATAGGCCTTCCCCACAGACCGCCACGAAGCACCATCCTGAGCCACCTGCATCCATCGACTTTCCGCACATTTGCACAGGTCGGTTCGAGGCTGCCACTCGAGAACCTTTCTTCCCCAGCGGTTATCGGTTCTACGAGCTATATGACCGGCCCATTATCACTTCAGCTTACTAACCTTCTGATTCATGTCGGTTACTTTTGTTCTTTTGTAATGCTTATGCATGGAAAATAAAATATCAAATATATTCCTTAAACTACTATATTTTTACAATTTAGGAGAAAATAATACTATATTTTCTTCAAAAAAAAGGTGGTAACCCTAGTTGAGACGCACAAAAACGATTTGTTTCGAAATGATTATTTTTGTGAATGAAATTGTTTGAATGGCCTACTTATCTTATCTCTATCGTAAATTATTTCTCAATGGTTATTTTGTCAGAACGCCATAACTTTCATACAATTCTTCATTACATTTAATGATTCACACATAATTTTAAAGTTTATGTTGCCGCTATTGAAGAAAAATAGACAAATGGAATAAAATTTTCTTTTAAACGCTTCATAATTATGAAGAACCAATGTCTGATTATGGTATCTATTGATAACTTGTTTTTGAAAGTTAACGAAGTAAACGCTACTTTTCAAACTAAGATACCTTTCTTTGATAACGTAAATCCAGTAAATTAGTAAGGCATGTTATCTTAGTAATTAACGACACGTCAGAAACGTCTATGGTTTTGTGACTGTCCACGGCTCTGATCTTTAAGTACCAGACCGGAAAAAAAAAACAAAAAACGCATCAACTAATCATTATATATGTATGTGCTGTATTTGTAGTATGTTTTGTGGGAAAGAAAAAAAGTGGTCTTTCCGGAGTCATGTCAGCGGGTGAAGCTGATATTCGCTATCATTCGAGCTGTTTTGCCATCGTCCCTTTAAATAAATGCATTTCGCAGCACTCCTGCAACTGTTGGAGAAAGTGCTCACCGCAGCCTCGAGTGACGGTGGGCCCACGATTGCCGGATACGAGAGAAACAGTTCACAGCAACAAACACAAAAGAAGGAAACGCAAAGACAAAAAGGCGAAGCCCCGAAAGAGAAAGAAGGTAAGAAGATCAATTATTTTGACGACTCGATTGGGGCAGTGATATAAATATGAATAGTGGACGTGTTCTTTGCGTAGAAGGTGTAGTGTTGATGAATATAGTGTTTTCGCAGTACCGGTGTTTATATATCTGTAACTGGCTGCTGCCCGCGACTAGTACTACTACTGCATAGCTATTCTATGCAGTAGTAGTACTAGTCGCGGGCCTGAAGGCGTAACATTCAGACAGAAAATCAGATATACATAAAAATATGTATATAAATTATAGCCTATGTGTTATTCAGTCGTATTTGCGTGAAAGAGTAACAAAGATGTTTTGCCTCATGTATTATAAAGTCGTACATGGTTTTTCTTTACTTTCCGGAATAAATCTTGACAGAATGTTGAAGTACGTAGGTATACCTACTGTTAAATTTGTTAGTTTCAAATGAAAAAAATTTTAACAATGTTATTAAAAATATTGTTAGTCGTACATAGTGTTTATTGAGCGGCCTATGTAATCACATTCAAAATTTCATTCTGATCTGAAATGTTATTTGAGAGTGACGGCATACTTTTAAATATGACCACTAGGTGGCGCGAAGCATTGCTAAAAAGGCAAAATAATAATATATAATATTTTTAGGGAATTTCACGCCGTTTAAATATCGGTCGCTCAGCTAGAGCGTGTTTACCCTAAATTTGCAGGTTTTAATCCTGTTAGCGAACGAAATATCTAAATTAATAAAATAAATATAATAATATAAAATAATCGAAATAAATAAAAAACATATCCGAACAAAACAATTTATCTAATTGCCTTTTAGAACTTATTAAATTATTATCCAAATATGACCTACGGGATTACCTGCTACGTATTAATAAAAGATTCCATCGACATTAGCTGAGCCATCAATGAAATTGATTAATTACATGAATATCTATCTAATCATATCCGCCGTGATAAAATAATACACAGAGTTAAACAAGCCAAACACTACGTCTTTTTGTACGATATAAGCCATGTTAAACAAATGTCAACAATAGATATTGAAATTTGACAATTCCTGAACTGGGATAGAAAATAATTTTTTGAGATTTTTGAGATATAGTAGATTACCCTAACTCATCCTAATCTTTTTCTACATGTTTTAATTTTAATCATCCTAATCCACTGAAAACTAATGTTGGATTTTTTTAGACAAGTTTCTATGATCAATCCTCAACCAGTAGTATCGTAACCAGTAGAGCAATATGATATGATGTTTTGATTTCCACCGTGTAAAATTTTGGTCTCAGTCTTCACTCACTAATCATATTTTTATGCTAAATTATTTTTATGCGTTTTATAACTAAATTGATTTGGGTAATAACGATTTTATTGACGTCGGCAAGTCTTTATTTTCAGATGTAGTAGAAACTTTGGCTTTGAGAATTGTTCTAATACGGTCTTTCTCTATTTCTTTTTCAGATATCAAAAGGTGATAAGACATGAAAGTATTCAATAAAGGAAAGGAAAAACAAGCAAATTTTCATGTTAATTATGTATTTATTGATTTTAATTAATTAAGAGAAAAAAGAAATTGAATTTGATAAACAGTTTTGAAATTTGTTTTTTTGATGTTTTTATTCTAATTTGTTGACATTATTAGAAGTACCTTCCACTTTACTTATTTTACCTATTAAAATGATAAGTAAATGACTAGAATGCTGCGAAAGGTATGGAAAGATTGTGGATACTAAAATACGTAATTTTTGTACATCATGTTTCTACTCCTCTCAATAAGCTGGGTCTTTTATGTAACAAAGAACAATGTTTTAGGATATGAAATTATTTCCTTTTATTTCGTAGTGAATAAAAATAACGTTGGTTTTACAAAAGAAAAGTAAAAAAAATCTCCCCGGCGGGGAATCGAACCCCGGTCTCCCGCGTGACAGGCGGGGATACTTACCACTATACTACCGAGGACTTGTACATTAAGTTGAAATTAACTCTTAAAAAGTGAAAAATGTTTAAAATTTAATAAATAGTATAATTATAATAATAGTGATCACATTTATTAATCATTTTAAATTTTCCAAATCACTTCATAATATTGACATTATCGTCGACAAAAACAATCAGTTTATAAACCCATATCATTGAACTGTCAAATTTTTTGTTAGTTCTTCTTGATCGTTTTTACTAATCACAGCAGCGTTCATTCACGATTATTTAATGTAAATGTATCAATTTGTAGTATGTTTCGACTAAAAGGGATAAAGAAAACATTTGAAGTTGTTTCAAAATGAGTGAAAAGCTGAAAGAACTACGTGAAAGATCTCAGAAACGGAAAAAATTACTTGCACAAGCGGTAAGTACGCAAGTTTGATATAACCTATATTTCTTGTTTTGTTTGAAACTTTTCTATTACTATTACTCGAGATAAGAAGCCTTATTTTGTGTTTAGAACTTTAGTTAGAAAACATTTGATTAAACAGATGTAGGTTCTAGCCAAAAACCAAACAACATCTTCTATAAAAATTAGTATTAGTTCCTAGGATGTATAACAACCTAATCACAGGAAGCTCATTGAACTAAAACCCCCAATGACATGAAACAAATACCTAAGTAATGACTAATATTCTAGCATAAAAGCTGGGCTCTCTATGTACCAATTAACAATATTATAACTTCATACTGAAATATGTTGACAATGTAATTTTAATGTGTTATGTTGTTAATTATCTATCATTTATTATTATAATCGTATTTTTTCAGTTGGGAGTCTCCAGTGTAAGTGAACTAAGACATGCTTTGGGTGCCTCATTGGATGTAATGCCTAAAAAGCAGGCAGTTTCAGATTATACTGCTGAGGGTTCCGACAAACCAGTTGCTAAGGAACCAGATAGTCTTGTCTACACCGATTCCTCCACATTCCTGAAGGTCTGTTTAATTTCTTAATTATTTGCAACATGAATTTCAGTTGTTTCTTCTTTCATCTAAAATTTATTTCAGTTGTTGTTAAATTGTTAAATATTGATAGAATTGTAATAACACAACAAATGTACTGTTGATAGTTTAAAAAAAACAATTTTGATATTTGTCGATGATATTATTTTTATAAATTTTGATGACAACTATATTTTAAGCTAAAATGACTTATCAATAACAAAATAAGTATTCTATGCACAGTTCCATTACTCAAGGACTTCAAAATTAATATTAAAAAAAAAAATCATGTACATGAATGCTATAAAGTGTTTAATGTAGTTTAAGTTTACCATAATACATGTTATAATGCTTCAAAATGGTTCATTTAATAATATGTTGTATTTGTATAAATATAAGAGGTTATTACCTAATGGTACAGACAGATAATATTTAATGGAATTTTGTTTTCTGTTGTTTCAATGTGCTGATGTAATTACCAAAACAAACTTAAAATTTTTTGACAATTGAAAGTTTATTAATACATTTTTATTAGTCTCATTTTAATTACATCTATTTTAATTCAGGGTACACAATCATCTAACCCACACAATGACTACTGTCAGCACTTTGTGGATACTGGACAAAGACCGCAGAATTTTATCCGAGATGTGGGTCTCGCAGATCGCTTTGAAGAGTACCCAAAGCTGCGTGAATTGATAAAATTGAAGGATGATCTGATCGCACGCACAGCAACTCCTCCCATGTACTTACGTTGTGACCTTAAGGTAAATCTTTAATTTCAAAAGATACTTTCCATTTAATTTATGCTGGTTTACAAGAATGCAATTTTGACTATTAATTTTTATTATACATTTAAAAATATTTGTGAAATGTTTGTATTCATTAAAAAATACAATTTCATTGTAGCTTTTAAAAAAATCATATTAAACACTTGTTATGTAGTATTTTGTGACTATGTGTACTTATTTTGTTTTATGTTATAATATCCACTGCCCTTAATAAAGCCGAAGACAGAGTGGTGTCTAAGCAGCTCTTCACCGATTCCATCATAAAGGCGTTTCAAGACGGGCACGACCTTCAGTAGCAAAGACCATGAATGAGAAGAAAGTTATTAACCCTTTTGTTAATTTTTTTTTAACTGTGGTAGGACCACGCAGCAGCCTCGGCTGTTGCACGGCCCTACCTCATGGGCAGGCTCATCCAGGTAAGTACCACGACCTCACAGAAGACCGACGTCAAGTGGAAGTATAATTACTTTCGCTTTTCATCTAGTGATTGAGGTAGCCGGAGCCCAATTTTCAAAATGTTGTCAACGCATCTGCAACCCTCGGGTGTAGCTGATGTCCATTGGCGGCGGTATTCACTTAACATCAGGTGAAGCGCCTGTTAGTTTGGCAAAAGCTCCAATCATTAAAAATCCACTCTACACTGTGAGATTGATGAAGTACCTTCTTGTCTACCTGCAGACGTTCGACCTTAAGCAGATGGGCAGCAAGTTCGATGTTCTTTTGGTGGAGCCGCCTCTAGGGTCCGGCTGGCGATGGCAGGATGTTCTTGCTCTGGACCTCCAGCAGATTGCCCAGCCTCGCTGTTTTATCTTCCTCTGGTGTGGCAGCTCTGAAGGTGGGTTCAGCTCAACCAAATTGCTTGGACCATTTTTCAATAATTGCATACTAAAAGATTAATCCCACACTTTTGCTCCTATCTAGTTTATAACATCGAAAAAATACAAAAAATCTCTTACAGTTCTACTAATGCACATGAATTACCAAAATAATATGTCTATCCTGGTAGAATTAATGTTCAATGTATTTTCAACTAATAGTCTATATGATACATGCTTATGATATATTATGTTATGTTTACATACAATCAATAGGACACATATAATGCCTCCATTATATATACTGGATTATTTTTATTTTATACATCAACTAACAGCTATCATTATAGGCAATACCTAATGCGATAGTGAAATTTAAATACAATTTAAGGTAAACATATAACCATAAATAAAACTAAACACTGAGAATGTGGAATGTGGCCAGTGTGAACTCATTCAATGAGCTCTTAATTTGTTCCATCTGCTGATTGAGATAAACATGCCCGCTCTCGCTAGGTCGGTAACACATCTTTACTTTAGCCACAGATAAGGTAATACTTGCTCTATTGCAATTTTTTCTTACGAAAAAATAATTAAATGAATGTTTGCATACAGGTTTGGACATGGGCAGAGAGTGTCTGAAAAAATGGGGATTCCGCCGCTGCGAGGACATCTGCTGGATAAAGACTAACATCAAGAACCCAGGGCACTCTAAGAACTTGGAGCACAACGCCGTGTTCCAGAGGACCAAGGAGCACTGCCTCATGGGCATTAAGGGGACGGTCAGGAGGTCCGTAGACGGAGACTTCATACATGCTAACGTGGATATAGACCTGATAATATCGGAGGACCCCGAATTTGGCAGCACAGAGAAGCCAATCGAAATATTCCACATTATGGAGCACTTCTGCTTGGGCCGAAGGAGGTAACTGCTCTTTTTTTTCTAAACTTTCCATTGTTTGTGGCTACTGATAAGTAATTTATCTGGGACAGAAACACCCATGCATATCCAGATAGTCTCTATGAAATTTATGTACGTAGTACATAAATAGGAGTGGGGCAAACAGAAATGTTAAGTTATTAGTTATTTAGTCCCAAACTAAGTAAAGCTTGTGTTATGGGTATTATATAAACATACTTTTCTTTAACAAATAAATACATATTATTGTTATATAAACATCCAGAGACTGGAAAAATATTTCGTTTGTCACACAATAATTTTGCAGTAGGCGAGTACGCCAATTGGGTCGTCAAGGTAAACATATTACAGATGCATAAACACTCAGATATTAAAACTCCGGCGGCAGGGTGCACCTGTTCGGGCGCGACTCGACCATCCGGCCGGGCTGGGTGACGCTCGGCCACGAGCTCACCAACTCAAACTTCAACGCGGAGCTGTACGCGAGCCACTTCGCGGAGGGCCGCGAGAGCACCGGCTGCACGGAGCGCATCGAGGCGCTGCGCCCCAAGAGCCCGCCCGCCGCCGGCAAGCCGAGGGCGAGGGCGCGCAACGCCTTCCGCGCGCGCCCGCGCCCGCGCGCCAACGTCTGACCCGCAACCGCCGAGAGGCCCTACGCTCAACGACCCCTAAGGACCAGAAGACTGAAGGCGTCTGGAAGGACGACGTCCCGGCTCCACACTCGGCGACCCCTAAGGACCTGAAGAGTGGAGGCGAAACCGCTGTCAGTCTAGAAGAACCACGTCCTGGTTCCACTCAGCGACCCCTGAGGGCCCGAAGACTGAACGCGAGGTCGATGTCCGTCTAGGAGGACCACGTCTCGTCTCCACATTCAGCGACCCCAGAGGGCCTGAAAACTGAAGGCGGAGCCGCCATCCATGCCCACTTTTTTTTACAAAGGCCGCTGCCGTAGCTCTACACTCAGAGAACCGAAACCCCCTAATCTGATGTCTAAATGTAGAGCTACCGTTCGGCTACAAGGACCACGCCGCAGGTCTACACCCTCACCCCTCAGCGAACCGAATCACCCCAAGTACCCAGACTGATAGTGGTGCCGCCGTCCGGTTAAAAGGACCATGTCCCAATCTCTCACTCAAGACCCGAAGACTGAATTCGGTGCCTCCGTCCGGTTAAATGTTCCATGCTAATCAAGGACAACCCCACACGCAGCAACTCGAAACGCCCTTCGGAAAGTCTGAATGTGGCACCACCATCTGGCTAGAAGTACAACACCATAGCCCCACATTCCGCAACACGAAACGACGGTGCGGAGCCACCGTCCGTTTACAAGCACGATGTCCTACAATCCTTATACCCTAGAATCGTGCCGATGACGAAAGACTAAAGGTAAACATTTCAAAAACTATAAAAGGTCACCACTTACAAACCTAAAACATACAAATGTCAATGCAGATGGGTAAATTCGAAGATGCCCTACGACTCGAAGGACGGTTATGAAATGGAAACGCGTCTTGAAACCAAATGTATGCATTAATGATCCATGGTACGGATAGCTTGAAAGAACCAGTGCGAAGATTCTGTTCCGAGGTGATTTAACAAAATACCATAAGCGGTTAACACTAAATTGGACTTAGTGTTAGGCGCTGTTTAAAGGGCTACACCAGTCTGGACCGCACGCGCCTTCGAAATTCTTAAAGGCGGACGCATAATAGTTACGCCAGAGCAGTTTCTAAACTCTAATAGTGGTCTAAGTGTTGGGCAACAGCAAAGTGACAGATTTAACGAAATATCGAATATGATAACACAAAGGGGGACGCAAATTAACGTAATAGTACATTTTATCGTGTTGACGGAAACTATATCTTGTTATCATTATTGTAAGTGAATAAATCTTTTTTTATGCCAAAGTTCTTTTATCATAATGTATATTTAGAACATTATATTAAACCCATTAACACCCAGAGAAAAACGAAAGCTACTAGACGTGAAAAAACAACAGTTAAATGGCTCGAGTCTTATTATGTATTACATGTATGGGCCATCAATGAGTCAGACTCACTAAACAGTGTTAGCGCTATGTGTATATATAGTGTGGTTGGTCAGGTCCGTCCGGGGAACATCAAAGAGGACCGGCGAGAAGTGGCAGTTTTATACTTCTGCGTTTCGTCTGGTGAGTGAGGTAGCAGGGGCCCACTTTATTAAAAGGTGCAACACGACAGACGTTTAAAATGTCCATAGGCGGCGGTTATCACTTAGGTGAACTGCCAGCTCGCTTGCTTGGCACCTTCTCAAATTAAAAAAAAGCATGTGTCATGGAAGATTATCATTATCTAGTAATTAAAGCAGATAATTTCAAGAACAAAAATATGTAGAGGGCATAGCATAGTATAATCATTTAAGTAAAATAATGTCAAGTACAACACTTTATTGATAAAATATTTACAATTGCTGTGCACTTTAAATTTTTACCATCTTCAAATCTAACAATTTTGTTAAAACATGACATGTATAAGCTTGCAATCTGCTTTAATAGTACATAATACATATAAAAAATATAATTAACATCTGATGAAGAAAAAAATACTCGCAATTTGTTTCTTACGTTCTTGTCAAATATATTAACCCCAAATAAAAGTTACTTCCTATATATATGTATATATTACATGAAAATACATTTAATTTTTTTGACTTGAAATCTTAATCATTGAAATCACAATTTGTTGCTTTGGTATCCGAAAGATATTTAACTCTTTCTTGCATTGGTGCTTTCACCCAGTTCTGGTCTCAGGTAGGCAATAAAAATTTCTTTGTATTAAATTGTGTATTACAATGTAAGGAATAAGATTATTTTATCTCTTGATCTTTACAAATAGAAGCGAAGGAGCGAAGATATTTTGCTCTAAAAACATACATAGGAACATACTTATACATACAAAGGAAGTAAACAAAATCATTTCAAGAAAGCGGACAACTTTTCTGTAAATATATTATTTTAGAGAAAATCTACAAAATCATTCCTACATAATATAATTTTCACTGTTCTTCAATCACCCTTTACCAATTACAGTTACATATCACTTATCTTCATTTATGCCTGTATACAATTAAATTTACCAGTTTCCATTATTTAAACCCACTGTAATATTAAACTGTTGTTAAAATTGTTATGGACAATTGGGATAGATTATTATTCAGGAGCTTGTATAGCTTTTGCTATATGAATGCATCGCATCTATGATGCTATCTCTGCTCATTTCATAATACATTTTGTTTTAACTGTTATCAAATTACTTAGTTAATGATGTTAATTTATAGACTCTGTATTTTAAAATTTATATTCACCGTTTTGTTGCATTGTATGCAGTAAAAAGTACGAAATTATATAATAACATATACAACTCTGTCATCATCATAAATAATTATGATCTTATCCTGCACAACATTAAATCTCTAAGAATTTAACTAAAGAAATTTAATATTTTACATACTTGTCATCGTATATAGATTTTCCTACTATTACGAGAATTTTAAACTTTCAGTAAGATTTTCGCATTTAACATTTCATACTCCCCAACACTAAGAAAGCTTGCGAGTGGAATTACACTAAACGACTGAATAACACTACATATATTATCTACACCAGTTTACTATGAAGTCCTGATAGAATGCTCATGAACACAAATGTAACAAGCAATTTCTTTATTGCCAAATTTAGATTTGGAATCTAGTCTGTATGGTAGCTGCAGTAGTTCAGCTCTAAGAGCAAGGACCCGATAGGACTCTTCTGTTCACCCCTGTATATTTTAAGCTGTGACTACTCATAGCGATGAAGTACTTAGTCAAGTTCTATCCGCATAGTGGCTGCGAGTGATCCGCACTGAATCTTGGACTCTTTCAGCTTGTTCAGCGATTGCCTCAGGTCCTCCATTGTGATTGGCCTCACCGCATCAACATACTCCTCGTCGGAATCGGAGTTGGACGATTTGTTTGTTGCGGCCTGTGAACAATAACCATTATTGGCACCTTAACAATGCAAAGAGAAAATTAGCAAAAAATTTAGAAAATACTGACATTTGCATGTTATTCCTGAAACCTGAACCAAACAACTTCCAAAGTCGCAAGCTTTCAGTATTTGCTGCGTTGTGGTATTTGTGAGTGGTAATACAAATGTAACTGTTAATAAAAACTAGATTACGTAATTGTGGAAAGTTCTTGCTATTTGTAATATTAAGTTTTGGATTGAAATAGAAAGGTGACGAGTGGCAATCATTTTATAAAACATCAGGTTTCACAGCCTGAGCTTCTTTTTATAGTGCTTTTAATATTTTAAATAGCATAGCAAACAAAAAAATATATCTGAGTTGAGCTCCTAAAAGATAAGCATAGCTCGGTGTTCTCTTTAGGTTTCATTGTTGCAGCAGTTTATTGATATAATGGATTGTTTCAATGATTAAAAGACCTCTCGCAACTATTCAGCAGTGTTTTTTTAATGTGAGAAAGTAAGTGATCTGGCAATTCACCTGATGGTAAGTGACAACCACCACCCATGGACATTTGCAACACCCGTAGAATGGCAGATGCGTTGCATCAATTTAATAAAGTGGGCTCTGGATATCTTAGTCACCAGACGAAGAAGTATAACACTTCCACTTCACGCTGGTCTTCTGTGAGGTCGTGGTAATTCCCCGTACGGACCTGTACATTCGTGCTACAACAAAGACTTGCCTGACCCTTACACGAGTTTAAAGGGCTTTGACTTATAAGTATGAAAGAGGAGCAGATATCCTTCATATTAGTAAGGCTGAAGTACATCGATGTAACTTTTCACGAGAACTGCTGCCGACAAACTGCATCACAGTTTGGCAGAGAATAATTTATGTTATTGTAGTACTTTATTACTGGATTAAATAAATTAAAAAAAAAAACCTCTTCGCTCTCCCTGGCGAACTCTCCCCTGGCCAGCTCGCGCACCCGGTACACAGCCGCCTGGCGGCAGAGCTCGTGCAGATCCGAGCCAGAGAAACCCTCCGTGGCGGAAGCGAGGCGACGGTAGTCGATCTGAAGCACATAGCATGGATTGTATTTTTGTGTGGACGGGATTGGCTAATAGGTTCCAATGAGCATGGCAACCTAGAAAGATCTATTGTAGTCTTCTCTTTGAAATCATTGGCCCCTTGCTGTAGGTTAACCTAAACTGCGTTGAAGGAAGTTTTACATACATAAATTTTAAGATTACAAACAACCAGAACTGAAACAGTTATCTGTAGGTCACACAAATAGATGTCTCTGGGAATCGAATACACAACCCCGAAGCCAATACCTTGTCAACTGTTTTAAATTATAACGACAGCCACCTGTTCATACTATCTTTAGTTCTGCGTTTAACTTCTCAGCTGTGTATAATATGTAACATACTAGTGAGCACTAGAAAAGATCCAGCAAGATAGGCAATCTCTAAATAAATGATGTAACAGACATCCTTGATTGGGTAGATCGAGATAGCATACATAATAATTACGTTATATAGCCAAAGATAAATAACACATTTAAATATTGAAAATTTGGATATGTGCTGTCAATCGATAATGCAATATACAGGCAAAATTTTCACCCAATTTGTATTTGTATAGCACTCAGGTAGTTCCCCGTCATGTGAAGCGGTGTCTCCTCTGTCTCCGAATCTCGGATAAGCCGGTTGTGAGTCAATGGTGACGAGGTTGCTGTGACTGACAAGTGGCCAGCGACAGCTTCGACACTCACGTCGGTGGCGACGGGCTCGGGGCGCAGTATCAGCTGCAGGATGCGCTCGCGCTGCTGCTCGTTGGGCATCGGCACGTGGAAGGTGGCCGGCATGCGGCGCTGGATCGCCTTGTCCAGGTCCTGGGGCCGATTCGTCGCACCTGAGGACCAAGCACCGGCGGTTCGGTCAGTAGAATTATTAAAACTCTCGCGAGACATTATCAGCGAAATAATAAGACGGCTCAACTTTGTTTTGCTATGTCGGCTAATAACACCGTTTATTACCAACGCACACAGGGGGAATTTTGCATTACCTAGGTATACATATACATAAATGTAGACACAAACTTACGTTTAACCGGTATTCGTTTGGTATTCGGTGTTTGGGAAAAATGATAAGGGTGAATTGTTATGATACCAGATACCTAAAAGTGACACCAATTTCACGGTGTTACCATGGCGATCGATAAGTAGACTGTTATAAATTGCATTTAATGTCTTCTTTTCACAAACAAAAGTTACTGGCACATGGGATAATTTTTTTTATTATTTTTTTTAAGATAAAGAAGTATAAATACTCTTGTGCGTACATAATTCAAAACGTACGTTTTTTTAACACGTATGAATGAAAAATGTAACGGAATCTTTAAAAGTGATTTTGCCCCAATTTAAACAATCAGATCAGATTATACATACATAGCATACTCGTTAAAGTCCTTTAACAATGCAATAATTTAAATATTTATTTTTTCCAATATCCTACCAGAACCTTCAGGATTAGCTATTTTCCAAATCCGATGCCCGGTAGTGTCCTTGTGCTAAGTACGCATTTAATAAAATTAAAAATCACCCTTTTATACTTAGCAGAACTAAATACTTAAAAAAAAATTTCACCCATGATGATGACGGTACAAGTGTTGTCGGTGATGAGCCCATCCCAAAGCGACATGAACTGGGTCTTCATCATCGCAGTCGCCTCGTGATCGTGCTGGGTGCGCGTCCGCAGGAACGACTCAATCTCGTCTGCGAAAAGGTCATATTTTTATGCAAACTTAAAAATTTAAGTCAGTCTGGCTATTCCATTGAGATAAATCCATTATGAAATTCCATTAAGAAACTGATAATGAAATCTATACCTATGAATACAATGCAAGGTTGCAACTTAACGGCAAGGCTGAAGACCGCTGCTGCCAACTTCTGTGTTTCACCATACCACTTGTCAGTGAGCAGGGACACATCCAGGTTAATGAAACTCATGTTTGCCTCTTTAGCAGTTGCCTTCGCTATCAAGGTTTTACCGCACCCTGAAAGTACGACATACAGAACATCTTTAGACTATAGAATAACAAACCACCAGGTTCCTAGAATTTTAACATCATTTTAACATCAGGGTATACTAAAAAGTCATACAAAATATGGGGGAATAAAATTTTCATCTCTAATGGCTAAAATTTTCAATAAAAATTCTTATGATAATGATATGCAATGATAATCTTCTATTGGTGTCATTTTAATGGCTTATGAATTCACAAATATTTAAGATACTTTTGCTTTAAGAAAAAAATCTTTTTTCTATACATACCTGGAGGACCATGCAGCAAAACACCTTTGGGTGGCTGAGTGAGCCTACTATCAGCAAATAGTTCCCGTTTCTGTATTGGAAGGATGACAGTTTCACGGAGCTCTTGGATCAAATGATCTAGGCCAGCTATGTCCTTCCAGTTCACCTTAAAAACATTACAATAAAAACATTATTCAAATGTAGTCCTACCAAAAGACAAAGTTGTAGAAACTGTAAGAATAGAGAAAGCTTTTTATTCTTTCTTTAAAGTATTCAATTTTTTTTTATCTACTAACTGTTACAAGTGTAAAAATAATAGAAGTTTAGATCATAAAAGTATAACATAATATATAATATGTACTGCTATAACATAACTTACATTCATCTCATCTGGCACAACCAGCTGCGATGCTATTATCATTTCATGGTCTGTCAGTTTATCTAGTGCCACCGAGTGTTTGCCACCAAGCCCCGCTCTGGAAGATAATCTTGACACATGCAAGTCCTGTACAGTTGCTGCCTCGCAAAATAATAATGTAGTCTAGCAATTATAAATGACATGAAATTTTTTTTTTTTTAAATATTATTTTAGTGCTAGTGCTGTTTAAGATTCAACGTTGTTGATTAAATAATAAAGATATTTGATGTTTATTGCATAGACAACTGTGTTTGATCAGCAGATTACACAGTTTATATTGCAGTTAGAACTTTTTAAACAATACAGAAAAATAACTATTGACAAAAGAAGTATATCAATTTATGTTATACATAGTCTATTATTACAAATCTTTAAAAATATCCAACAGCTCTGTGTTCTGAAACAATGTTGTGCTACATCCATCTAAATCTAAATTTGTCTAAATGCTTCACAATATTCTCATAACTAGAAAAGTACTATTTTCAAAAAAAAAATCTAGATGTATATGGAAACCATGCACATTATGTAATTTTGAAGCCGATAGAAGGAATCACAACACAATGCTATCGTAATTATAAGTACATATTAAGTTATGTTAAGAAATTAAAAAGGCGCAAAATTTTAAACGATTTGTAAGATAGGTTACCCGCGATCAATACATACTTGCGTAACTGTTCACGAGCTCGTTCTTCTGCTTTCTTCCTACTTTTGGATGTAGGGTCTATCTGATTTACTAGCCATTTTATGGAAAAATATGTCACTGCTGATACGAAGGCCACTCGAATAGCCATTTGAAACACATCGTTTCTTGTAAAAGCTGAACCTTCCACCATCATGCCGTAAATTATTAAGTAATTACAAATAAGAAAATTGATACAGGATCTGTATTCGTATTGCCTGTTTACAGAATTATTGGTATGAATTTATATCAAGTTTTTGAAGATAATTCTTTTTTCACCATCATTGAAAGAGAAAATTACTGTCAAATATAATGCACAATGATGACAATGACATATCCACCGTCCGCATTGGGCTTACCCGTTTCATAGACTAACTAATGTCATTCATTCCTTGGATTGTCTATGTTCGTATTTATTTAAAAATAATATCCTCAACAGAAAAGAAAGGTTCTCGAGCGGCAGCCTCATACTGGCCATCTTAGTGTAGGACGACCACCCCACTAGATAAGAGTGATGACCTGTGCAGCAAGCGTGCGGGAAGATAATGGATGCCGGTGGCTCAGGATTGTACTTCGTTACAGTCTATGGAATAGACCTATGTTTCGCAGTGGACTCAAACAGGCTAAAATGATGATGATGATGAGGGCCACGCAATAGCTTCTGCTGTTTTACGAATACATAGGTCCATCCCGGTAAGTACCACGACCTCACAGAAGACCGACCGAAGCGCGACGTGAAGTGAAAGTTTTTTTTTCTGCTTTTCGTCTGGTGAGTGAAGTAGCAGGGAACCACTTTATCCATAGACGGCCAGCTCGCTTGCCTCCTTCCCACATTAAAAATAAAAAATTAAATTAAAGAAAATATGTAATATATAATTAAATTAAAAAGAAACTCAACGGTGGTAGGGCTACGCAGCAGCCTCGGCTGTTGCACGAATGGGCAGGCCCGTCCGGGTAAGTACCACGACCTCACAGAACACCAGCGTAAAGTGGAAGTATGACAAATTATTTCGCGTTTCGTCTGGTGAGTGAGGTAGCCGGAGCCCAATTTTCAAAAGGTTGTCAACGCATCTGCAAGCCCTTGGGTGTAGCAGATGTCCATGGGCGGTGGTATTCACTTAACATCAGGTGAACCACGTGTTCGCTTGGCAACTTTTCCCATAAAAAAAAAAAAGAAAAAGAGCAAGATAAAAATCATATTTTATATACAACGCAATCATAAATAAACACACATATATAGGATAACTTTTAAAATTTATATAAAACAATATATTTTCCAAAACAAATAATTTTAGAACATCGCTAAGTATAAAACTGTTACGCAAAATTCAATTGTAAAGGCCACAAAGCATATGAATAGGTTGAAAGAATTTAAAAGAAATAAAACATACTGCTAGAAGGAGATACTTTCTTTTTTTTTTGTACTTGTAACGCAAGTTGTAAACGTAGTGATTACATTCTCTTTGGTTGTGGCAAAGAATGAAAAAGTCTCTGAATGTATGAATCAGTCAGTAGTTGTTTAGGTGTTACAAATTTTGTTTCTTTTTTATTTAATTAGTTTAGATTTGTTGATTGGTAATCTCCGATTATACATAGTCTTTGATGTCAACTCTGACCTGTTTGGTTTATGTATTATGTTTGAATTACTTTAAATTAAATTCGGAATGTTAGTTTTATTTGTTCAGACTGAATTATGTCATATTTGATTGCATAAACGTAATGATTACATTCTCTTTGTTTGATTGATTCCGTAAAAATCGTTTGAAGATGTAACATGTATAGCTATCTGACATAACTCCTGTTTTTATATAAATTCCATAATGATTAGTTTTCGTTAAAAATAAGTTCAAAATGTTTAAGTTGAAATAAATAGTTTTCTTATCAGTCCTTAAGTGTCTTTTTGTCTTGCAAGTGATCGCATTAGCCACATCTACCATTCAAGAAGATTTTTTTAACATTTATATTTTTTTATGATTATTGGCAAGTAGCGTTAGAAGTGTGTTCATTGATTTTAGGACGCTGTTGCAAGACCATGCTGTATATATTTTTTTTGTTTAGGTCTTAAAATTTGATATTTAATTAGCTATATACTCTATAATGTCCATAGTAAAAATAATATTCAATTTAAATGTATTTAAATTCATATTAAATACCCTCGCGGACTTTTATTTAGATCTGTTTCAGATGTTCGCAAACAATCCACAATATATTAGCTTTGTGTAAAGCCCTATTTACATTGGTCAGGGACAGCAGCGAGTGACGAGTACAGTACGTGGCGAGTGTTGGGCACGGAACAATTGAATGTTTACACTACAGCAACTACAGTGGCAATTCCCTGTAGAAAAGGACGAGCAATAGGTGTGATTTTATTGCCTGTTGCCGGCCACTGCCCTAATTAAACTGTTAACACAATGGCAAGTGACGAGTCAAGTGCGAGCACTTGCATCAAAAATCAAAAAGCTATTCTATTTGGGTCTAGTTTCAAGGCAGTTTGCAAGCCAAATTGACTCGCCACTGTACGACGGTTTACGCTTTACTATACACTTGACCAATGTACATCGGATTAACTCTGATGACTTAGATAGCGCATGCCAAGATAACACTCAGAGGGCAGGATTTTTTCGACTTTCTTGATAATTATCGTATTATTATGGCCAAATTACACATAATATTAATAAATTGCAGCCTATGTCTTATTCTGATGTACAGTATAAGTTATATTAGTAGTTTTTGCGTGAAAGAGTAACAAACGTCCATCCAGCCGTCCTCATAAATATTCATATTTATAATATTAGTCCAAAAAAGTCTATAAGTTTATTATAAATAGTATAGAAAAACTATGATTTATGTCTTGTTCGTTAATTTTTATATTTTTTTCATATTCCGACTGACGAGCTTTGTTTCCATGGCCATAAAATAAATTAAAAATACAGAGATTTGTGTTAATGTCAATGTCATCTTCATGTGGGTGATATTTTAAGTTTTATTAAAAGCGCAGTAACATAGTCCTCCTTTAATTTTATGTTGATGTATTACATATAAATGTTAATAAATAGATAACACTTACAATGAAAAAACAAAAAAATGCGCCTCGCCCTAAATTTATTAATAAACGCAAAGCTATTAGAAAAGAAAAGAGGAAACTGAAAAAAATCCACCGCCAGGAGCACTACCAAAAAAAGAAAGAAAACAAGAATGTCCAAACATTTGAGCCAGGCAAGTTTGTAAAACGGCCAGCTGATGTATCTAATGATGTGGAAATAAAAGTAAGAGAATAACATTCAATGAAGGTTAAGGAACATATAAACATATTCTTTGTGGTACTAGCTATAAGAGTATTAGTGGAGGTTAATTAATAAGATAGTAATAAATTATCATGTAAAAATGTGTATGGTATAATTATATCAATATTATGTTTAGAAATCATATCACTCATAAATATATATTTGATATTTGAATTGTGGACTCATATGGTTTAGACCATATATGTTAATATATAAATATATGTTAATATGTTGTATTGTTTTCAGAAGAAAAAGAAAAATATTCAATCATCACGAGATATTCTCAGTAAAGAAAGGCAGAAGGATATTAATGTGACAGAAAAACTTAAATCTGAGATGGAAGAACAAAGGCGAAAAATTCTGTTACAAGCTAATGAGGAAGAAGATAAAATTATTAAGAAGTTAGAAAAGCAACTGGGCCTGAATAAGTCGAAAAATAAGAATAATTATTTCGCTGAAGATGGTTTGGACTGTATCCTTTTATTAATTCATTTTAAACTTTCTCTAACTCTTATACCATTATTTGCTGTTGTTTCCACTTCTGGAAAAGTAATAAATTTTATGTCTCATTTGGTTATACTTAGTAACAAAATGCTCATTTATAATTGATTATATTAAATAGTTTTATATATTATATGTGCATGGTATAAAAATTAGTATGTATAAAAATATAACAATTTCGGAAAATTAATGATTACAATTCATTATTATGTACTTTTAAAGAATTGACTTTCAGTGTATATTTTATAACTCGCTAATAAACATTAATTTTTGACCAATTTTTTTTATCTCATTAACATATCAAAACCATTAAATATATAGATATGTATAATATGTTCTTAATAAATAAATTTATTTTATAGGCGATTAAATCCATAGCTAATATATGACATGCGAACAGACTAAATGTTATGAAAAAAAAACTTAATACTTTTCATTACATTTCTGTATTCTAAGACATTACCTTCACTCCATTCATTCAGATCTTTTAGAAGTATGTGATAGGAGTACATCAGAACAAATAGTTGCTGCAGAAAGGCACTTAGCAAATGTTGAAGATGATTCAGATTTTGAAGAAGACTTGGCATTAGTAACTGGGAAAGATTTGACTCAAGAAAAGCACAAAGAAGGAAAGAGATCCAACAAAAAGAGTACAGTTAGTGAAGGAGGAGAGAGTGATGAAGTGCCAATTGTTGAAATGGATGATGAAAGTGAGGTTGATGATGATGATGATTTAAACGAAGATTTAAGTGAATCAGAAAATGAAGAGGGATCAGCTGATCATGAATCGGACATAAGTGAACAGAATGTGCGAAAGAATAAAAATACTAAAAGCCCAATGAAAAAAGAAAAAGTAATCACTGAAGACGATTTGAGTAAAGTCTTTAGTGACGACGAAGTCTCTCATTTGTCTGGAGATGAGAGTTTGGAAGATGATCACGCTTCTGAAAGCATTGAACCAGAAGATGAACATAGTGTGACGAAAAAAGATAAAGAGAAACCTGATATGTGGGAAGATATCTATGGTAGAAAAAGAGATAAAGAAGGCAATGTAATAAAAGTAAGTTAAAACTCTAAGGTTATGTGTACAAAGTTTTGGGGTTAAAGATTATTATATTAGTTAAGTTTGGGATTGATTTGTTTATGTTTACTGTTTATTATAGTTTATTTATTGCTAATATTTGGCTAATCTAATTCTATAAATATAAGAAACTAGCTTTTTGTGCGCAGCTTCGCTCGCGTTGAAGCCCCTAAACAAATATCTTTCCATTTTAAGAACCCTTTATAACCCTTTTTCCAATTCAAAAATAGCCTATGTCCTTTAGGGTCCTCAGGCTCTAGACTATCTGTGTACCAAATTTCATTTAAATCGGTTCAGTAGATTTGGCGTGTAAGCGAGACAGACAGACAGAGCTCTTTTCGCATTTATAATATTAGTATGGATTAGAGACCATAAAATATAATTCCCCGCCATTTTTCAATGGTTTTTCTGTCTCGACTCAATATACTTGATTAGAGACCATAAAATTTAATTCTCCGCCATTTTTCAATTGTTTTTCTGTCTCGACTCAATATATTTTTTGCTTGATATATGGTGCCACGCAAATTCATTCAAAGAAACCTATTGAGTTGTATACACTATGTTTATATATTATTTTAATGAAACCATGATGACCATGAAGATCCATTTTTAAAGAGATTGATCACTGGTGTTGAAAACCTCACCTCCGGCAAGAACTTATGGAAAAGGTCATGGTCAAAGAACAGTTATCAAACAAAATTACAGTTAAACATTATAATTAAATGTATACATATAAACTATGAAAAAAATACCTTAAATATGTTTATAAAATACGAAAAAAGTTTTTCCCTGATCTATTATTATTCAGCAAAATGGACAATTTATTAAACAATAATATTAATTGAGTGTGTTCCACTATATGTAACCACATTTTATTTGTGAGGATTTTCATTTTAATGTTTAATGTTACAGGAAGAAAAGGGTGTCTACATTCCGCCTCATTTGAGGAATAAGGATTCAACATCTGACAAGGATTTGGCTCAACTTAAAAGGCAAATTAAAAGTAAGAATTCAGCAAAATATGTGTATTTAAATAGTTTCAACTATTATCAGATAGTTTGATATACATAGAAATCTACCAGTGTATACATGGTATATTATAGAAAGCTGTAATGTGGTAGCGGCCTTAGCTGTTGCACGAATTTGTAGGCTTGTTCGGGAAAGTATTTTCAGTCGCACAGAACATTAACATAAGAAGTTGAAGTATAATACATTTACTTTTTGTCGGGTGTTTGAGGTAATCAGGGCCCACTTTTTTAGAACGTGGCAAAGGCATCTGCAACCTTGCGGACGTTGTAAATGCATCGACATTTACAACGTCCGTCGATTTTACACCAGATGAAAATAAGAAAAAGCTATTTGAAAAGCCCTAAGTAAAAACTTGGTTTAAGAAATTCAAAACAGGAGTTTTCGTTATAATAATATCCCCGAGGTAAAATGAAAACTCAGTTCATAATGGTACGAAATCCCCACGGACAAAGTTGCTGGCAACAGCATTTGAGAATTAAAGATTAAAGATTTTTAGAACACATTGTTACACAACTTTCTCTAGACCCAAACTAAGCAACGCGGGTACTAAATAACTGATAAAAATACTTTTCTTCTGTAAATAAATACATATTATACATATATAAACACACAGACACTGGAAAAACACTATGTCCATCATATAATATTTTTCCAGTAGTGGAGATCAAACCCACACCCTCTGGCGTAAGAGGCAGTTTCACTACCCACAATGCCATTAGGTAGTGTACACATTTTTATTATTCGCCAAACAGTGGGCGGACTCGTCCGGGGAAATACCACGGCCTCACAGAACGTTTAAATTGGAAGCATTGTTAATGCTATTATGGGGCCAGCTTTTTTAACGTTGGCAACGCAACTCCTCGAGTATCAGCTCGATGGGCGGAGGTAACCACTTAAACATCGGGCGAACCGCCCGCTCTTACCATCGGTAACACTCTGTGTGTTTACAAAAAGAGAGTACTGAATAAATTTCAGTAGTATACTCTTTCTTTAAAATTAGTGTTTAGGTTTACCAAAGGGTAAAACGGGACCATATTAGTAAGACTCCGCTGTCTGTCTGGTTATCTGTCTGTCTGTCCGTCTGTCTATCACCAGGCTGTATGTCAAGAACTGTGATAGTCAGACAGTTGAAATTTTCACACATTTCGTTGTTATGTCACATATAACACATAAATGTCGTTACACCGTTATGAGTATAATTTCACTAATATACTCTCTTTAAAATTAGTTTTTTCACTTTCATTTGTTAGGGTAGGTTATTCTCTGTAATTAATTTTTCATATATTAGTTGTAGTTTTTTTTTTTAATTTAATTTTAACCTTTGTCACAAAACTGTAAATGTTGAAGACACCCGTCGAAGGTAGTAAGGTCCGAAGCAATAAGGTCCGATGATTTTTTCCTTTTTGCAAACGTGGTATGTCTATAAAAAGCCCAACCCACCTAAACCGCGTAGGCGTGCTGAACAAGCTGGCCGGCACCAACCTGCACTGGGCGTGCGCCTCCCTCGAGGGCCTGTACTCGGCCCACAGCCGCAACAGTGTGAACACGGCTTTATGCCAGCAGTGGTGCGAGGCGACGGTGGCGCCCTCTGCCACGGCCGACAGGCTGGTCGCCGAGCACGCCGCCCTGGTTTCCGTGTTGCACGCCAACGTCGCCAGCGAAATCGGTGCGTATGCTTTCGTTGTTTTTTCGAAGTAAGAAATTGGTGCGTATGCTTTCGTTGTTTTTCCGAAGTAAGTAATTGGTGCGTATGCTTTCGTTTTTTTTTTTTGAAGTAAGAAATTGGTGCGTATGCTTTCGTTGTTTTTCCGAAGTAAGTAATTGGTGCGTATGCTTTCGTTCTTTCTTCGAAGTTACACTCTTCTTGGGTTTAACTTTTACGGTGCGCTACCTACGCGCCTAAAAGTGATAGGGATGTCGAAAGAATATTGATATATCGTAAAGTTTTTGATTTAAAATTTTTGATGTTTTTAGCCGACATATTTGGATCCGATATATCAATATAAAATATAAGAAATAATATCAACAACGATATTTTTTCAAATTCGGATCCGGCACAGAGTGCGTAGATGTCAAATATTTAATACTTGACCTTTTATTTTTTGACAACTTTTTTTTTATATAGGACATACTTACACGGAATATCGATATATCGAGACAAATACGTTGGTATTTTACAAATATCGATATATCGATATATTTCTTAACTTTCGACATCCCTAGAAAGCGACGCTAACTCCATTGTGCTACCACGGCAACCGATAACATGTTTTTACAATTACCTATCATCATCAATCTTTCAACTGTGGCTGGACCCCGCAACCGTCCTCGCTGTTGCACAAATGTGCAGGTCAGGCCGGGGAAGTACCACGAACACACACAGAACCGTTTCAAGCTCTGCATTTCATCTTGTGAGTGTGGTAACCGGGGCTCACTTTATTGAAAGATGACAATGCATCTGAAAACATACGAGGTTCAGCTAACGATATTAATATGTCATATACTTTTTTATGTGAAAAGTTGACAAGCGAACTGGTTAAACCGATGTTAAGTATTACTAATGCTATGGACATCCACAGCACCTGACGGGTTGCACAGGCTTTGCCAACTATTATAAAAGTGGGCCCCGGCCACCTCACCACCTCACCAGACGATAGCAGAAGTAGGTATAACACTTCCACATCGCGCCGGTCATCTGTGAGGTCGTGATACTAACCCGGACGGACCTGCTCATTAGTGCAACGGCGGATACTGTCGCGTGGAACTACCACAGTCGAATGTTAGTTATATTTTTAATAGTGCTAATCTCCGCACTTAGGATTAAACACTTTACAAACGAAAACTTTTTGTTCCTTCTTTCTACAAATTTTAATGTTGAGTGAGTTTTGAATAAAAGACGTTTCTTGAAGAGTTAACGTGAATCTCCTTCCAACGCTGACACTGTATTTGAAACATTAAAATTTGTAGAAAGAAGGAACGAAAAGTTTTCGCCGCTGTGGGAATCTACAAATTTTTATGTTTAATCTTAAGTACAGAGATTGGCACTATAAAAAAATTTAAAAGATAGTTACGTTAAGTTACATCCAGGTGCACATTTCCTGCAAGAGCTCACGAAGAAGTTCGACGAGATGGTGGACACGGACCAACCCATGGAGGACAAGAGGCTGGAGAACCTGACATCGTGCCTCTCTCACTTGTACAGTTTCAAGGTGAGCACCGTCTTGGAGTAATTCGCACTTGTAACGTTGCATCAATCTCTAAGGAGTTTGCAGTGTTTGAAACGTCGGAAAATGAATGCTTAAAATTGTTTTATTGAACAAGGTCTAGTGTTCGCTCAAATGTGAGAAGTCATTAATTTTAAATGATTGAAAAATATAATTTCACATTTTAAAGCGGCCACTTCCTTGGGACTCGAATAAAAATCGTTTCACGAAAAAGAGTTTCCTGAGTGGGCACCGTTTCGAACTGAAACTTCGATTGTAATCTGGGAGAAAAAAATACGTTTCTTCGATTCTAAAGCGCTTTGTTGCGCTCGGAACATAATAAGTCTTGAACAGTCATTTCGTCATTGAATTCTTTTTACAATTTTCTGGGAAAAGTTCCAAATTTAAAATTGTCTACAATAGGGCGAAAGACACGTATAACTTTCATCTATGAATATAACTTAGGGGAAAGCCGTCTTAATTAGCCCTAAGCCAGCTCAGGTAGTAGTTGCCGGATCTACTCATTTTCGGATCCTTCAACTGTACTTTCCAGATATACCACAGCGCTCTCCTGTACGACGTATTGGGGCGGTTGATGGCAGACATAAGGGAGAAGCACATAGACTGCGTGCTGACAGCCTTACGTTGCGTGGGCGGCATACTGAGGAAGGACGACCCCCTCGCCCTAAAGAATTTCATACACGACACGCAGGCCAAGATCGCGAAGCTTAACGAGAGGGCCGCCGGCGGGTGAGTGATCTGAAATAGACCCTCGCTCCATAGTCTTAAGGTACTTAATCAAACAACAACTTTGGATTTCATACTCTGACAAAATGAGATGTGATTTTGAATTCGGCTGTTGAAATGTTCTTTATAACAAAACAGTTAGTTTGACACTAAGGCATCTCTTTATGAAAATAAACGTTTTAACTTTCCCGTCGCTAAACATACTCTAGAAAATCATGTTTGTACGTAATAATATCAATATTTAAAAAAAATATATATACACTCTGGAAGCACCGAGGTTTATACTACTAACTTTTGTGGACCATGGACGGCGGTTATCACTTAACATCAGGTGAACCGCCAGAAACCACATAAAAAAAACTGAGTTCAGAACAACTCGAAGTAAACCCCACCCCCTCCCCCCTACAGGACCCGCATAAAGTTCCTTCTCGAGGTGCTGATGGCGGTGAAGAACAACAACCTGAACAAGATACCCAACTACGAGCCCACTTACGTGGAGGAACTGAAGAAGGCCACCAAGGCCGTAGTGAGGAAGGGCAACTACGTGGCGCCGCTCAACGTGCGCCTGGAGGACCTGCTCAAGGGTGAGGGTAACCTACACACACACACATACACGCACGCACACACGCACGCACTTATAACTAACACGCATACGTAATGCGGGACGAGCACAAATTAGGGAGCGTCCCTTGATGACATTGGGGGGTATGTATTCGTGTTTTTCTACGAAAGTGATTATTACTTGACTTGATCGTTTTGACTTTTTAAACTTTGAATCGTTTTGGATTAGACCTACATGCATTGGTGTTCTTTGTACTAAAATGTATGAAACTTGGTTTAATCTTTATGATAGATTATTATGTAGTAGCAATGTAACAACTATTGGATCCTTTATAAATATATTGTATCGTAGCAATGTTTTAGCAATTACCCTTGTGTTGCCTATGACAGGGCGTTGTGTTAGCCGTTTATCCGTTTAAACTTTTTTCCATTAAGACCCAGGAAAACTTGTATCTTCCCTACTACGGTTAGTGTTAGTTCCCGGTTCATAAAAGTTCGCCTTTGACCACTCAAAGTTACAGTTTATGACTTATGCGATGCCAATGAAGATTGGCGATCCGATTGACGAGTCCTCCCCCCGTTTTCATGGCGGCAGCGGACGAGAGGGGCAAGTGGTGGATAGTGGGTTCTGCGTGGGAGGGGGCCGGGCTCGGGAGGGGGGAGAAGAAGGCGCCCGCCCCTCCTCCCGGGGCGGACCAGAAGCTGCTGGAACTGGCGCGCCAGCAGAGGATGAACACGGACGTCAGGAGGAGCATCTTCTGCGTGATCATGTCCGCCCAGGTATTTGTGCACTGTGTGTGTTTCTGTTTTGTAGGCATTTGTTATTGTAGTTGTGAACGAGGTTTTTGATTTTTTTTAAATGTGAAAAGTTGTCAAGCGAGCAGACGGTTCACCTGATGTTAAGTGAATACCGCCGCCCATGGACATTTGCTACACCCGAGGGTTGCAGATGCGTTGAAAACCTTTTGAAAATTGGGCTCCGGTCACCTCACTCACCAGACGAAACACGAAAGTATTGTACTTCCACTTTACGCCGGTCTTCTGTGAGTTCGACATACTTATCCGGACGAGCCTGCCCATTAGTGCAACCGCCGAGGCTGTTGCGGCGTGGCCCTGCCACAGTTAAATTGCTTGATTGGCAATGAACGTGTTAAAAGAACATTGGAAGGATTTGGGCAGTTTGGCGACCCAGAGGACCTATTGTAGTCCGCAAATACGATCAGCTCGTCTCCATCCAAAGTCCCACTGAGGAGCCACTGCTCTATCCAGGACTACATGGACGCGTTCGAGCGGCTGCAACAGCTGGGCCTAAAGGGCGCGCAACAGCGTGAGGTGGCGGCGGTGCTGCTGGCCTGCTGCCTACGCGAGCGCCTCTACAACCCCTACTACGCCGTGCTGGCGCTACGCCTGTGCCAATACGACCGCAAACATCAGGTTTCTCCCTCTCCTCCTTACAACAACATCTACTACACCGTGGTAATTACCTTGTGCTGCTACGACTGCATGTAGCCACGCTCCAACAACGGCTACTACGCGATCTTCGTGCTACGTCATAGTCGCTACGACCGCAAACATCAGGTTTCCCCCTCCTCCCTACAACAACATCTACTACACCGTGGTAATTAACTTGTGGTGCGCCGACCGCATGCAGCCACGCCCCTACGAGTGCTATTTGTCCGTGCTGGCGCTACGCCTGTGCCGCTACGACGATAGTAATCAGGGTTCCCCTCTCCTCTCTACAACCTCTACTACGCCGTGGTAGTATGCTTGTGCCGCTACGACCGCATGCATCCACCCCCTACTGTTTTTACTACGCGGGGTTGAGACTACGCATATGCCGCTACGACCTTAAGCCCCCCACCTGTTCTCCCTACAATGTCTACTACTTCGTGCCGGTAATAAATTTGTGCCGCTACGATCGAAAACAGCGCCGCCTCACGTAACTAGGACGTGGTGGCGTTACGCTTGTAAAGCTACGACCGCAAACATCATCCTCGCGTCTACTACGCCTTTCCCCTCGCTCACCTTCCACTACGCCAACAGGCTAAGAACCAAGGGACTCTGATAGAAAAAGAGAGGGAGGGACAGTTTTTTCACCAGAACCCTGAAGAGTTCTTTTATGTTATCTTATCCTTTAAACGAGCAATTCTTGTGTATATATATATATAATCGGAATCTCGGAAACGGCTCCAGCGATTTTTATGAATATTAGTATATGCGTAGATTCGGGGGCGAAAAATCGATCTAGCTAGGTTTCATTTTCAGAAAATGTCCTTTTATCCCTGTTTTCAGGGAATGAAAAATATTATTCGATATTAACGTCTTCTTGAAGATGCTCGGCTTATTGATTGGTCTGCTGTTGCTTATGCTCCTACAGTCGACATGAAAGTTGAATTGTTTAATTCGTTTATTACACAGCTTTATGGCGTGCATGCCCCCGTTAAACCCGTAAAAATAAAACATTTACCTGCGCCGTGGTTAACAGATGATCTTAAAAACATTATTAAGAAAAAAGGCTATGCGAAAAGCAAGCTGAGAGCTGATCATTCTGTTAAAAATCTGCAAAATTATAATAAACTGCGGAATCGCTGCAATACATTGTGTAGAGATGCACAACGACGCCACATTCACAAATCTGTCGAAAACAGCGACCCTGTCAAAGTTTGGAAATTTCTTCAATCTCTTGGAGTTGGTAAAGCGTCTTCTAGTTTGCTTCACCATAATATAGATATTGAACTCCTTAATGAATATTTCACCTCTTCTAGTTCCTTAGATATTTCAGGATATATAAGTCGCGCACTCTGAACATTCTTTCTTCCATGCCAGCTCCTGAATTTCCACCGTTTACTGAGTGTGATGTTAAGAAGAACATATTATCAATCTCGTCTAATGCCGTTGGTGACGACAACGTTAGTCGTATTATGATTTTACCTATCCTTGACTTTATTACTCCTATTATCACCCATATCCTTAACGCATCAATCTCTTCATTCAAGTTTTCCGAAGCTTGGAAAAGTGCTCAAGTGACTCCTCTCCCTAGGAAAGCCCATGCATTGCAATTTTCCGATTTTCGTCCTATTTCTATTCTCCCGTTCCTGTCTAAAGTTCTAGAGAAACTAGTTTTCCAACAGTTAAATCTCTATCTGAACAAAAATTCTCTTCTTAATCCTCTTCAATCCGGTTTCCGATCAGGTCATAGTACGACTACAGCGTTGGTTAAAGTTACTGATGACATTCGACGGGGTATGGATAATAAACAGCTCACTGTACTTGTGTTGCTAGATTATAGTAATGCATTTAATACCGTTGATTTTGACATTCTGTTGACTGTGTTACGTTCTATTAACATATCTCCACTAGTGATTGGCTGGTTTCAAAGTTACTTAAGTGGCCGATGGCAGCGTATTCGCATAGAGGATGAATTCTCGTCTTGGTGTGAATTGCGCGCCGGAGTGCCTCAAGGTGGTGTGTTGTCTCCTCTTCTATTTGCCGTATTCATTAATTCAATTTCTCAAAAAATCACTTCTCTCTATCACATGTATGCAGACGATCTCCAAGTGTACACACAGTCAACTCTTGAAGACTTGCCTACTGCTGTTTCCGCCATCAATGATGACCTGGCCTGCTGTCAGTGAATGGAGTAAAATCTATGGTCTCAATGTTAACCCTACTAAGTCCCAGGCTATTATTGTTGGTGGTGTTGGTTTGATTTCAAGAGTTGACTGGAATAACCTTCCTTTGGTAAAATTAAATGACGTTATAATACCGTACTGCACCACTGTGAAAAATCTTGGTGTCCAATTTGACAATTCCTCTCCTCTCGTGGTCGGAACAATTGAATCAAGTGAGCCGAAAAACATTTGCTGCGATGGGTTCTCTCCGTCGTTTACGTTCTTTTCTTCCCATTCCAACTAAAATTATGCTAGCACAATCCTTACTCCTGTCCATTCTCGATTATGCGGATGCAAGCTATCTTGATTTAACCGAAGAACAACTAAATAAACTTGAGCTTATTCAAAATTTAGCCATTAGGTTCATATTTGGTTCTAGCAAATATGATCACGTTTCCGAATTTCGTTCAATGCTCAAGTGGTTACCCATTCGTTTTCGCCGGAATCTATACACTGTCTCTCTTCTGTACTGTGTATTATTTAACCCTAGGACTCCAAGCTATTTAAAGGAACACTTTAAGTTTCTTGGCCATAACCATCCAGAACGAGTTCTGCGATCAGCTGAAGATCTAATTCTAGCACCACATGCGTACAAAACTAAATATTATAAGAACTCCTTTACAGTTAAGGCCATCTGCTTGTGGAATGAACTTCCTCAGCAAATTCGTCGTTCGAAGACGCTAGACAAGTTTAAAATTGACGTAAAACAACATTATCTATCGCTTTGTAATCCATAGTTTTTAATGGCAATATTCAGATTTAATTCTTCTCTCGTGTATTTATTTATATATATATTATATATTTATTTATGTTTATGTATGTTTATTATAATTTTGTTTATCTTATTATATTTAAGTCTATTTTGGTATTAAGTAAGTTTATTGAGCACACCACCTCCCACTATTCATTAGTTTATTTTTCCTCGTCCTAAGGTTGTCTGGAAGTGATCGCTTTTTAGCGATAAGACCGCCTTATTGTACCTAGCTTTTGAGACTTATTTCATACTAATTGTATCAAATTCTTTGTGGTGTACAATAAAGTATATAATAATATAATAATAATAACTATTCGAATATGACGGTAAATTTCGCCGCAAGAGAAAATGTCATAATAGCTCGGTCGGTAATCGGTTGTTATTTTTTTCCCTTTTTTTTAAAAGTTCTTTCTTTTGAAACATCAGTTCATATTATCTTATTATTAAGTCGGTAAGATCGAAAAATATTATGCATATTTCATTACTCAGTAATTTGTATCTAAATGTAATTTCCAAAATACACGATTTACCAAAAAAGTAAACAAACCGAGCAAAGCTCGGTCCTCCGGGTACTAGATATTAATTAAACGAATGAAAGAAAATATATTTAACGACTGCCAAGTGCTTGAAAACTCACCTCACCATTTGATTTATCATTATGTCATTGTGTCATTGGTTCTGTACACGCTTGCCTCCAAGGCGATTTTTTCTAATTTCAAATCTTTCCGATTCAGTTGGCGATTCAGTTTTCCGTATGGGACAAGATTAAGGAACTGGACAGCATGTCGAAACAGAGCGTCAGCAACTTGGCGCAGTTCCTAACCCACCTGATCGCGGAGAAGGGTCTGCCGCTCTCAGTGCTGAAGGTGAACCGTTTAACGCGTGTCATATATTAAAATATGTAGAAAAAGTGCGAAAAGATTGTCGCCGCTGTGGGAATCGAACCCACGTCTTCGGCATTCGCGGCCTGACGCTGTAGCCACTGAGCTAAACGGCTGATTGACACACCGACGAAAATCTTAACGCATTCTTCTACATTTATATATATATCCTGGTCAATTTAATAAGCCTCTGGACTAAGTAGTAGTATAGCTTGAACTAGTAAATAATAGAGTGCAAAAGCTTAACGAATATTCAACCATGATAGGGCCGTGCGACAGCCTTCACTGTTACACGAATGGGCAGGTCATAAACTACCTGAAGAGTCGATATATGCAGCTTACTCAGGATGTCCAGGTCGCATTAAGAAAAGGGCCTCAATCCCGTGGCTGGTCCGACTAACATCATATACCACATAACATCAGTTACAGCATAAACATAACCGCAGGTGATCCAGTTCTCGGAGCTGAACAAGCGCTCGGTGCGCCTGATGCGGCAGACGCTGCTGGCGCTGATGCTGGGCGAGGAGCTGGAGCCGTTCCGGCGCGTGGCCCGGGCGGCGGCGCTGCGCCCCTTCCGCGAGGCGCTGGCCCTCTTCGTCCGCCACTTCCTGGTGCGGAACGCCGCCCGGGGGGGATGCCCCGCCGCGGAGCTGCACGCGCTGCGCTCGCGGGCCGCCGAGGTGGACAAGATCCTCGGCATGCACGACTCCAGGCTCATGCTGTGACGCTCGATCGCGATTAAACTGTTTTGTTCCTTCTTTTTGTTTTATTGACAAATCTTCTTAAATGGCTGAATATAAAAATATAATAAGCCGCTTAAGAAGTTACAATAAATTACATTTTTTTTATGTTGTGTCTATGCTATGTACGCGCGCACGCGCGCGCCTGTGTGTGTGTGTGTGTGTGTGTGTGTGTGTGTGTGTGTGTGTGTCCAAGCTATTTCTACTTCAAGATGTGTAACTGTGTTTAAGATATTTAATTGTATGATCACTATTTTTATGTTTCATATATTTGTCCACCTGTGCAAAGTCGGGGCGAGCACGCGATATATAAATAGAGCTTGTTGCCAAGGCTATCTCCCCGTCTGCATTAGGACTGGTGCTTATCAACGGCTGGCGATAACGCGTCGAAATTCACCGCTGTGCTAACGGGGATCGTTTCTCACGCCAAACCAATCAACGTTCCTTTGCAGGCTGCATATAAAAAGTCAACATAAAACCTAAACAAGTTCAAAATTATGAACAAAATGTTTGAGGATAAAAAAAACTGTATTACGTCTACGCGATGTTCGTGCAATGTCAATCGTGATTTAATTCTTTACCTCGTATCAACACCGTAAGTCCACAAAATTCCAAAGAAAAGGCGGCCAGAAGCTACAGCTAAATATGTTTATCTCAATAAAATTTGCACTGACCACACAAAAGAAAGTAAATGAATCGTCTGCTTTGCTGAAATGTCTTCGCTCAAATAGCAGCTTGTTCTCATTCAGCGTAGAACATTGTATGTCGTGACGTAAATATGTTTATTCCGTAAATAGCTTTGACTACCATGTTAAATATGTTGATTATCGTTTAATGAAATCGTTTCCTTTATCCTTTTTTTTCTAACTGAAAAACTTTCTCGTAAACTGGCGGTCGAAATTTGTGTCTACATTAAGAATATCGAATTACTTTCTCATGTGTCGGTATTTTTGCTGACAGACGACGTAAAAGCTACGTTGCAAAACAAGCAACTGGCGGCAAGCGGTCTAACACTCATTAGAACTTTATATTATTATCAAATGTCGATGGCACAACGTCATGGGCGATACGGCGAATTATTGTGTAATCTGTTGACTGATACACTATGTAGGTACATGATAAGGTGTAATCAGATTCGGGCAGACCACGTTCTGCTCTAATATTGCTATTTTATTGGATTTACAAAACTGAATGCATCTTTTATACATTACGTCAATGTCCAATTGCTACAAAGTAAAAGATGTGATTCATTAGAAGAATGACGGCTATTTAGAGATTATGTACTCGTACATAACTGGTTCAACTAATTGATATCATACAAACAAATACTTAATATTTTAAGTGTTACTAAGACAGCACTGAATTAGTCGAACATTGAAATAGTTAGATTTTTTCCACGATCTGATTTAAATTTTACGCTTTGTTACCCGCTTTGATAGATAATGGCGTAAAAAAATTTACTGCAACAATGGCACGATGGCCAAGGCCTTGACACCTTGCAACTGCATTTCTGCGTCTGGTTGAGGAATTGATCCTAACAAAAGAAAAAATAACAGTTGTTCAAAGTACATTGCTTCCTTGATTCGTTTCTTCCTTTCGCAGCACGCGGTATTATTTCGTGGTGCGGGATTCGCTTTCTAGCTAAGTAATGAAAGCAAGATTAAAACCGATTTCAAATTTAATCTGTTAACAGATTCCTAATTATGACCGTCGTCATTAAGGACTTCTACGAAAGCCCATGGGACAAAGCACGCACGTCGACAACTCCACATACCTACAAGTCTCTCCTTTCTAGTCTTATACTTTTAGTGTATTAATAAGCTCGTGGAAGGGTAGCATATTTTTTTTTTAATTCTGAATTGGCCAGCGCTACGCTGACATCCCACCGGATAGTAAGTGGCAATGCCGCCGTTAATTGTAAGAGCGCTAGCTAAGTAAAAACCTCTTCACTCTTGCCTTGAAGACGCCTACGAAGCTTTGATCGGGCTCTGCTTCGGATGGCGAGTCAAAGACAAAGACGGGTTTTTAGATGTGATTAGGAAAAAAAAAACTTTCGCCGCCACCACTAGTATCGCAGTACGCATTGTTCTACATTGAGTAACATGCAAAGAATCTAATATCGCAAGCATATTGTACATGTATTGTATGCTGTACTACAATAAATAAACGATGGGATTTGATGAAGCCCATGGCGACCAAGAGGTGGAGGCCCGTATAATTAGGGTTCCGTAGCCAAAGGTTAAACGGTCTATCTGTGTCCGTCTGTCACCAGACTATCTCACGAATCGTGATAGACTGGTGAAATTTTCACAGATGATGTATTTCTGGTGCCACTTTAGCGACAAATACTAAAAAACAGAATAAAAAGTTTAAGTGGGGCTCCCGTACAACAGACAAGATTATCTTTTCCATTTTTATAGATTCCTTCGTGCACGAGCCCGACTCGCACTTCGCCGGGTTTTATGTTTATATCATACTAAACGTGAATTTTTGAAATTTTTAAAGTAATGATAACTTTCATAGGCGATTCATTGTAGTACAGTTTTTTTTCTTTATCATTTACATTATTGGAAATAGGATTTTACAGTGTAATTAGTTTGACACCATAAACACTACATACTACACTACGTTCTTAACTGATTTTACCATTTGGAAACGTAGCTATGAAATTTTGGTTTTCGAGTTTTCTGTGGTAGAAGCGCTCCACGAAGTAATGGTGTGGTGGTTATTACTCTATTACGCATTTGATATTTTTAGCAGAATCTTCGTATTAATCAAACTTTTAAGTAGAACAGTTTCGAAGGTACATATTATCTTCTCTAACAGATTTTATACTTTATGTCTCACGATGGCTTTTTTCCTCGTTCGAAAATATACCGGTTAGTCTGTATAATTTTTAAAAAACCTCAACAACTTCTTCAGGCATTAACGGCTTCAGCCTTTCAGCTAGAAAAATAACAAGATGTATCGCCTAGCTTTAGCTATAGCTTTTCAAAATATAAAATTGCTTGTTCTTATTTTCTAATTAGTTATATAAAACAAGAGTTAAAAACTGCATTTCTATATAGACCACTGATAGTTTATTTTTACCCAAGACTTATGGTTGCTTTCCGTTGCATGTGTCACTCATATTGGAAGCATTAACTTAAGTATAGCCGCAACATTCGAGAATATCTATTTGATGGTTGCCTAAAGTAAAGCATTCGCTGCAGCTTCACACTTCACTACACACACTTCATATTATGTTGATATGTACTTTGATATATAGGAAAATAAATATTTCTCTCTACATCGAACCACTATTGCCGCGCTTTTATTTTAAAGGAGAAGATAATAAAAATCATATACCTACGCTTTATTCGTAAATAAATACTTCTAATAAAAATAATAGTGAAATACGAAATACTGTTTGAGAGTTAATAAACCATCAGTGTTTTGTTATCTTCCGTTATTTGAACGTGAATATTATTATTATTGATAAAATATTTGTTATTTTTTTAAAGTACAAAGAATTTAACACTAACTTTGACGTGCCTATATTAAAGAACATCCAATATAGGACTACAGACATTTATCTAGTCTTAGTTGGTAACAAATTTATCAAAGTAAATAAAGTAGTAGGTACCACACCCACTGAGTTAATATCGTTTTATCGCATAATTGAAACTTTATCTTGTTGACGTATATAAAATCGGTTGGTAATAGACTGCTTGTTCCCAACCATGTTGGATACATAGAATATCTTTCATTTGTTTTTTTTTTGTTCGTGTCCATCATCATCATCATCTGCACATGTCCACTTTTAACACCATTGCTTACTTCTGTAGGTAAATAATGTACTAAAATCGATCCGTGAAAATGGTGTGCAATAGTTCGCAATTTTGGTGTGTAGTAAGATGATAATTTAATTAAATAGTATTCATTTAAATTCATGAGTCAGTTCAAACGAAATAGTCAAAATACTATAATAATATTCAATTATTACATCTAATTAAAATGTCAATTATTCAAAGAATACCCTCATAATATATTCTGTACCCAAATGGTATTACTAAGACTCCGTTGTCTGTCTGTCTGTCGGTCCGTCTGTCACCAGGCTGTATCTCTCATACCACGATAGTTAGACGGTTGAAATTTTTACTGATGATGTATTTCTCTTGCCGCCATAACAACAAATACTAAAAAACGGAAAAAAATATTTATGTGGGCTCCATACAAGGGACATGATTTTTAAGTTAGGTTTCATCTTAAATGTAAAGAAAATTAATGGCAATTAAAAAGAATAAATTCCTCGAGTTTTGTGATAATTTTGGATATTTTAAGTAGAGTATTCAGCAACGAAATTAGTAATTTTTTTGTTATTAAAAATTATCACAATATGTATCTACCTCGACGGCACTGAATAACATTGCACCTATAATATTTATATAAATAATTTTACAAAATCTTAGTACATGAATAAATTTTTTTTGCATATTCAATAACTATTTCTACTAGTGAAACCAAATAATTTATTACATCATAAATAAATAAATTATTTTTGAACGGAATGGACATTACGATAAAGCAGTTCAGCCGCTGTGACAACGCCATCTATAGTGAGAAATTCAAAGTGTAACAAAGGAAAAAAGCAAAGTTGCTCAACAAATATTCTATTATTTCATTTATGTGAGAAATCATTGACAAGATATTTAATAATATGAAAAAATCTTACAGTTTGTTTTAAAGTGATTTGCGTTTATGTGTGCAGTGTAACATGTTAAGATTTTATACCTATTAATAATTCAAATAACAGCGCCAAAACCATAGGGCACTTGCGCCACCTTGCGTTAAAAAACAGAACTTAGAGTGAACAAAGAGAGCTAGCTAGCTAGCCACCACTAGAAATTAAGGTTGTGTTTTATCTCTGTCCGACGAGCGCGTACAGGCCGAGCGCGAATGGGACGCCTTCTACACTTTCGGCCATCAATTCATAACCATCTTTCTTTCTTGTGCAACTGTTTCTCGTCGGTCGTGTTCTATGATTTAGTGTGAATGCAGGATGGACGCCATTCGCGCGAGATAAATTTCAGTCCACTAGTGTAGAGATAGTGATACGCGTGGAGTGCCGAGAGTATGCTATAGTGTCTGGTGCGTTGGGGTGGTCTCGGTGCGGCGAGGAGCGAGGCAGCTCGTAGCTTGGTGGAGGCGCGTGAGGCTGGGCATGGCGGGCGCAAGCTGAGCGGGCGGGAGCGGCGTCCACTCGCGCTCCGCCGCCGGCCCGATGAGCGGGGCATGCTCGGCGCGGCGGAGGTTTTATGGGTATTTGTGTGAGCTGCCGGCGCCGCGAACGGAAGGCACCCGAGAAGGGCTGGGTGCCGCGAGGACCCGCGAAGGGCGCGGCGGCGGCCGAACTGCTGCCACGGCGCGCCGGCCTCTCAGCCATGGCAAACTCTATCTCAAGCATCAAGATGAATAACCCTTTCAAGGTCATCGTCAGCAGGCAGCGGAAGCGCTACACAAAGAACGGCTTCAATTTGGACTTAGCATGTATCCTTTTCTGTGTTTCCCGTGATGTGCGAGTTTGTTTTAGCTTGATTGATGCCTTCAAATGGGTGAGTAGATCGTATTTCTCCTCATAAATGTTTGAATTAGGGCTTTGAACGTGATATTTACTCTGTATATTCGAGGTAAAATTGTCTGATGCCCTGCTCCAAGCATCCTTTAATTATTCAAGGGCACTTAGATTTATAACGTGCATGTCGCCTTAACATAAACTACGCTACGATTTCATCTGTTTTGAGGTTATAACTATCAAATTGCGCTCAATTTATCAATCTTAGATGTTTAACCTATAAATGCGACAAGTGTTAAAACTCTTTAATAGAGATAATTATGCGAACATTTATTGAATACTGACCCATTACCTATACATAGAAGATATTGTTCCTACCTCTAACAGTTTAGTATAAATTCAACACTGCTATCTTGCATAGCAACAGTGTTCCTAACTCATCTTTATAGACATAGGATGTTGTATAGTTCTGAAGTATGGATACTATCTGATAAATAATAAAGAATTGCTGTCTGCTTTAATATTGTACAACCATTTGGTTTTTATGTTACTTTTGACTCACAGTGACATAATTTGTTACGGTATAATAATGATATCAGTATTGCTCTTAGAAATATAACTGAGGCCCACAATTTATTTCCTTATAGCAGGCCTTGATTTAACATAATCAATCCAGTTCCACTCTATATAGAACTGATCAGTTTTATTAATAATTTCGTTTACCAGTGAAGTAGAGATAATTATTATGAGAAATTATTGTAATGAAAATATGGTGGTAATGGCTTACTCTTATGATTTTTTTTGTATACTTATTTTGTTTGTACTTTGTTTCACTGCTCTGTTATTTCAAGTGTTTTATTTAATTCCATAGAATATAGAAATAATTTTTTTATAAATTTTATGCTTATTCATATTATGTTTTATTATTATTATATATATATATATATTGCTATTCATATATTTTTTAAACAATTAAAGAAATAATAGTAAATTTTTGTGTTGGGTTTTTAGTATACTAGGCTTAGTGACATAGCTAATAATGTAATAATTCAGAAGCATACATGTATGTTTTTTTGTAGAACAAGGTGACTGCAGTACTAATACATAAACTATACACTCTCTACGCCAGTAACATTTGTATGACATGTTTTGTCATTAAAATAATTTGAACTTTAAATTTTTACTTCTTCAATGACATCAATAATCTATCTTCATGGTGTAGTAATTGAGATATTAATCTGTGACAGCCTAAGTTCAATATTGAAGAAATGCCGCTGACATTTTCAAGGCTTTGTATACATTGACATGTCTAAAATGTGCACAGCAGTATTATTTAGCTTCGTTCTAAATAATTAAGTATTATGAAGCTGCATGATGAAGAAGCTGACTGCTTAACTGACTACATAATTTTGACTTGTTTTATACCAAATTAGTGATAAAATTTCATATCTGCAATCAATGCGATATTTATTATTTTTTTAAATTGGTCTCTGCCATAATTATTTTCACATTGTCACCGTCTATAGTATGCTCTAATTAAGTTTGTGATTTCTCATTTTTATAGATTGCAACCAAATAGCATTATTCCATGTTTGTAAATGGTTGTGGTTGCAATATGACCATTGCCATTTAAGGTTGTGGGTTCAAATTCCATTAGCTTATTTTGTATTGTTCTGTTTCTCTTGTTTTCTCGCATTTTGTCAGTTTTAAAGAAACAGGCACTTTGGAATTAGGTACTATTATACTGGATCTTATAGCCTATTAACCAGAACAAGCGTAACATAGGTCTGCCGAAAAATTTGGTGCAACAATTTGTAGGTCATACAAATACTTGTCCCATGTAAGAATTAAACCCATGTCTTGCTGTTCTGTAGACTATGTAGCTAAGTGAGAAAATGGCAAACATTCCAACAATACTGTACATATAGAAATGCCATTGAGATTGGGTAGAAATGATATTGTATTGTTTCTTATTCCTGTGTTTTAGAACACAGATATAATAGGTATAAATATAACATGATAAAAAGTTAATTTGAATAAAATTAGCAAAACAATTGTGTTTAATAGTACAGAAATTATCTAGGTATAATTATAATCTTTATGCCTGGGTGCTTACAACTTAACCTGACCTCTTAAATTTTTTACTTTGCCTTAAAATAAATTTGACCCATAACAACATATTGAAGTTGAAGGAAAAGTCTTGTACAATTGCAAACTACTTAACTCGGATTGTTATATGTACAGTAAAAAAGCAAATATATTTAAATTTCATGCTTGTTAATGTTCCTAAGATAGCCCTGTCTTAATATAATATTCTACTTGATTATGAAGTAAACAAGATCATATAATTAGAACCAATGACATGGATATTTGATTAATTAAATTAATTATTAATAAATAATAATAATAAATATTTTAGGACACATTTTTACACAACATTTTCTAGTGCCAAACTAAGCAAAGCTTGTACTATGGGTACTAGAAATCTGATAAACATACTTAAACATATTTTTCATTTGTAAATAAATATATATTAGACATGTATAACCAACCAGACACTATAGACACTATGTTCATTACACCATATTTTCCAGTAGCCCCACTACTGGAAAAATCTCGAGCCCACACCTTCTGGCGCTGGAGGCAGGTACACTACCCACTATAGAATTCGGGTTGTCTCTTTAATTAGCCATGTACCCACCTTTTTCTTGAAATTTGATAATGTCACATTCAATTTGGTTGCAAAAAACCTTTAAAAAAGTACATTGCCAAGTAGTAGTATAGAAATGAACTTTTCACCTTTATAGTTTTAGAACACACACGGCAACTTAAGGGATTTTTTTTTTTATGCCAAAGTTGCCAAACGAGCAGACGGGTCACCTGATGTTAAGTGAATACCGCCGCCCATGGACATCTACTACACCCGAGGGTTACAGATGCATTGACAACCTTTTGAAAATTGGGCTCCGGCTACCTCACTCACCAGACGAAAAAACTTTACGCTGGTCTTCTGTGAGATCGTGGTACTTACCCGGACGGGCCTGCCCATTCGTGCAACGGCCGAGGCTGCTGCGTGGCCCTACCACCGTTGGTATATTAATATGTGAAGCAAAAAATTTGTACCACTTTTTATGAAAATTGCGCGGACGGAGGAGTATATCACTGGTTGTATTTTTTACGTTGTTTTACCTCTGAACTCATTCAATCATTCCGTAATTTGCCGATTTAAAAAAAAATAGCATTGCGTTTAGTTTTCATCTTATTAGAGTGAGGTTATGAGTCCACTGCTGAACATTGGCCTCTCCCTCACAGACTGCCATGAAGCACGATCCTGAGCCATCTGCATCCATCGACTTGCACACTTGCACAGGTCGTCACTCCATCTAGTGGGGGATGCCACACTGCGATGGCCAGTACGAGGCTGCCGTTCGAGAACCTTTCTTCCCCGAGTACTTATAAGTTATTTGTCAAACACGCGAATTGTGAGCCGAGAGAGGCGTCATTGGACGATTTCGTGTCCCGATATGACGGTCGTAACGCACGATAGCCGGTATCGGGCCCTGCATCGGTTATTCACCCGCGAGAGCGCGAAGTGGGAAAGCCGATTTGTTCGAATTATCGTTATCTCCGCGCGACTGAAATTCGCAACGCAGACCCATTGGCGGGGTTTTATTTTTTTTTTCCCCCCACATGGCTTTCGGCCAGTTATTTTTCGTTTTCTTTTTTTTTTTTTTAATCTATACTTTTTTAATATGTAGTATTTGACTATTTATTTTTATGGTTAGCTGTGATGTGTGTTAAGATTTATAAGCTTTCTGCCACTAAATACGTTCATGTGTCAAGTTCCGTATTAAATACTCGGCTTAATGTGTGTGTAATTGGAATGTTAGCTAAATATTAAATGAAGTCTCTGAACCATAATTCTGTATTAAGTAATGATATCGGTCGATTAAACGCAGTTCTCATTAAATTCCGGACTTAACGAGCGTATGTCTTTTATTCGCAGAGATGTTTTGAAGCGTTTATAATAATGCATTTCGAGCAATGCGTTTTGAAATATTCCGTTCTTTCGCAAGGCCCATTATTGAAAGGGAACTTAAGTCGAAGTTAATTATCGCTGCAATTACTACAGCGCCAGATTTAAATCGTGCTCAGAAATGAACAAAACGTTATAACACGTGAATTCTGATTGTAATCCTTTATTCATTACCTTATTTACGAGTTATAATAATAACTATAGCATCTGTGTTTCTTCACCGTAGTTCAACTCTTGCGGAACTTTCGTTGGTGTCGCGTGTAAATTGGCTTCCACTGAACAAAACGAAATTGTCGCATATTTTCACGTTGGTCCAAATAAGACATGTTTAAATACCTCACATTTATAATAGCGCCGTTACTAAGGTGGTTTAATATTAATAATAGTTACGATCTCCTGTTAATTAATTCGTCCTAATCCGTATTAATATAAACTTTGGACAGCCTTTTGTCTGTCAGTTTGGCGGTCAATCAATGCCAGGTGGTGACGCTTTAGCACAGTTTTTTGGCGAGTACATTGTTTGATATTAGGCTAAGCTCAATCGAGCACGAAGGCGACGCCTTCGTCGCCTTATGAAATAGCGTAATCTGCATAAGGTTGTTCGCACACTGAGGCATTAATTGCGTGCGAGATTACCGTATATTACAATAGTGTAGTAAGTAATTTCTTCGTATCTGTAAGTAATGCACCTGTCTGTACATTTTATGAAATTATTTCAGACACGTGAATTTTTGCTTTTAATATATTTAATTATTCTTAGTCCCCGTTTACTTGATGAATAAATGAAAATATTTCACTATGAACCATCCACATATGTCGAATAATCGTAATCAACGTTGTTGATCGTAATAACAATTGTTGTGTTATTTCATTTCAAAATACAACCATGTCCTCGTTTAATGTTTACATTATAGTGTGGCACCAACTTTACGTAGGCAT